TTGTGTTGTTTTTCATAACCCTTTACCTAATGATTTGCAAAGAGCTCAAGTAAAAGCTAATGTTTTGGAGCACCTATTAGTTTATGCTCCTTCTGGTCTTGTTGTTCAACATAAGCTACTGCCTTCATTTGGGGGAGAGGCAGATGAAAGTGCTTCAAGAATTGGACCAGTTTCTGCTCGACAGGTACAAGACGAGGAGTTACGGGTGAAAGCTGAAGCTATGCAAGCATGGGATGTATGCCGAAGAACAGAATGGCCAGAAAGAGAGGAATGCCTTTCTGGAATGACTCATGGAAGAAAAGAAGCATTAGATATGATTATGGATGTTTCTGGTTCTGAAGATAATGTTGCTGGGCACAAGGACCTGTCAAAGCCCCAAGACCAGTCTCACTTGTATCTTTCAAATGCAGAAGTGCAGATAAGCTCTGGAAGGACACCAATCTGGCAGAATTCTAAGGTAGTTATTTATGACATGTTCATGACGTACTCTTGCTCATCACCGGTTTCACTTACATCTTGTATGCATTTTCTTAGGTATCTTTTTACACAATGAGTCCTGTGGGGTTCGATGAGCATAAATTCACTTTAAATCAGTCTGCTGGAGAAATCGAAATAGAACAGATGCCATCTCATGAGGTTGAAATTAGACAGAGGGATTTATTACCTGTTTTTGAGCATTTTCACAGGATTCAATCTGAATGGAGCGACGAGTAATTTCTGTGTTCTTTTACATTATGACCTTTCTGGTTTTGACCATTCTTATCTTTTTTTTTTTTTTAATCTTGAAAGTCATAGAAGTAGTTATCTAGCTGAAAAAAGGTTTGATGAAAAAACATAGATATTTGGAAGTGAGGTTCTTTAAGAGTCATATGACAGCAGCCTGTACTGCTCATGTTAAGATTGTTCTGATTTCACTATTTGTACTGTCATATAGGTGGTCCTGGTACACTGCACACCAAAAATATGTTGGACTTGCTTTGCATCAAACTAACTGAATATCATCTGAAAGAAAATTGGGGCGATCTTTCTTTTTAATTGTGTTTTATTGGGTTGGTTTTTTTTTTCTTTTTTTTTTTTTTTGGGGGGGGGGGGGGTAAGAGTGGATTAGGATGGTGTTACATGGTGCAAAATGGTATTTATATAGTAGCACCAAATGAATTTTCCTTCACACCGTTTTTATTTTTCTGTGCAGGGGCTTTGATGCTTGAAGTTATCCAATGTCTTCTTCTCATGCTGCCAAAGCAAGATTCTCTGAAGTCACCATTATTTCTCACTCTAAGTTGATGTCACCTAGCTCAGCTGAAAACTCAGATAGTGGTATGACCATGTTTTAAATTTTAATGATTCAATATGCTTCTGAATTCATGAACTCATTTGATACTTGGTGTTTTAACCAGGATCATCAAGGAATTCTTATCCATCCAGCATTCAGTCTGTTAATGATAGTAGTGGGGGGTAAAAGGAAAGAGTTCTGCTTTGGTATCGCGTATGCTTAGTCAGAGCACTCTTAACAAAGATGCTGGTTCAGTTTCTTTTAATCAATCTAAAATGGGTATCTGTCAGATTGAAGATAGTAACTCTACTAATAGTCTATCATCATTAACAAGTGACTCTCTATCTGGTGGAAGAACTGTTGCAAAGGAGGTTTCAATTTCTAAAAAAAGATGGAACCTGTGATGATGCAAAGACAAGTTCTAACCGATCTGATTTAAGTATGAACATGTTAGATTGGGGGCCTGTAAATGCTTCACCGGATTTTGCGCAATTTTTTCACGAAGAGTATTGTAAAGCATTGCCCTTAAGTGCAACTCGTGAATCGTCAGAGGTTACTGATTTGACAGCAGCAACAGTCCTTGTGAGAGAGAAAAATCTGAGGAAGAAGGTGACAGTGATGAAATACTAGGGGGTGTTTTTGCCTTCTCTGAGTAGGGTAAGTATCTAAAGGTGTTATTTGATTGATTGTTCTAATTTCACGTAATGGTGCATTCTATCTAGAAACCTAAGCTTCTAAAATCGGTCTTTATGTCATCCATTGAGACTGAACCTTATTGAAATCATCCTTTGTGGCAGGTTGAGTTGTATCTACTTGTGTTTCTTTCCTGATGCTTACATGCCACGTTCATGTACGATTGCATTGTCGACTTCAGGTTCCTTTTGTTAAACGCCGGCATTGTGGGAGGGTTCACATACTAATTGGAAGTGTGGTTCGTTGATTTAAAAAGCTACTGACTGATTGATTCAAGTAATATGACTGGCTTACTGTGCGGCCATGGTAACTCTCTGATTTCTTCCCTACTAGTGTACATGTTGTAAATTGATATTTATAAGTACGAATGATTTGTGAGGACATTTCTTTCTGTGCTGTGTAACATTATTCATTCTTCAAAGAAAAAGAAAAAATAATAAAAAAGAAAATGAATTACTGTACACTGTGTTCTTTTTTATTTGAAGGAGAGGTATCCTGACAAACTCTTTTAAGTAAGGGACACGTATCAATTATTGAGTAAAATGTTCGGGTTTCAAATTCGGAAAATTTGGTTTCATCTATTTATACTGTTTGAAAGATAACTGTCTGCTTTGTACCATATGAACCTATTTGATTTCAAGTGTTTCCAAATCGCCACAGCTCTCAGCAACAAATTAATCAGCAGGCTACTCTTGGGTCCTTTTGAGGATTTCTAGTTTTCAAGAATAAGCCGAACAGTAGATACCAGACAAAACAAGAAACTTGTAGTACTACATGAATTATATACATCCTACACTATTTACGAGTACTGTATAGGAGAACACCTTCATCCCAACTTTTCTCCTTGATGAGCTTTCTCTCTGTTTCTGTCCATTTACAAAACTTTGGATACCCAAAAACATCCTGCATCTTTGTAGCCTTGTGGCCTGCCATGGCAGCTACGTTTATGGCATGAAATCTGCCACGGAATTTGCCCCCACCTAGACACCCTTCCTATCAAAGGAGTTAGACAGGGAGTGGTCCCTTCAACTCTAACCAATCGCTGAGATACTCTTTCATCATCTATCCCCATCTTCCCAAAATCTTCACTATATATTTATGTATGCACTTCCCTAGAGGAAATATGGCTACATGACAGTATTGACTGGTTGCCAAAGAAAACTTGGAAGGGCTCACATAGGCCCCTGTGACTATGGAGATTGGAGCCATTTTTTGGTGTCCAGTCCCCCTGGAGAGGGTCCCTTTTTTGTCGTTTTAAGGGCTTGAATGGACTATTGAATATGCCACGGAGGGTCCCCAACTTTTGGCCTTAAACCAACCTAATTGCTAACTGATGAGTTGTTCTGATTAACCTCTTTGCCAGGCAATGATTTATGGTTCAGTTGGAACACGTCATATTGTCAACTGTTCTTCAAATGCATTTGATTCGGAGAATCTTGGAGGAATTTGTCTTTGATCTTGGAAAAGGCTATGGCTTCTGAATTCCCAGGATTTATAATTTCAAACTTTTTTTTTTATCTACAAAGATAAATTGAATTTAAAATCGAGGTTTAGCATCCAATAAATTTAAATTTTAAATTTTGATACTCGTAATTTTTATTATATTTTTATATTATAATTTCTTTTTTTTATAAAAAATAAAAAGGTTAGAAATCATCTTTGAATGAATCATGATACATACATTTATTATCGAACCAAATAACTCAGTTCGAAACATTCAAAGTTAGAAGGGCATATTTCCACAATTTTGTGACAACAAAATCATGCATCATTTGAATCTATAAACGGATGCAAATGAAAATCAAGGCATATGCCCCTATCCATAATGCTCTAACTATAAGACACGTTTGCAAAAGCACAACAATGTAAAAATCATGTGTGTCCTTGCAAAAGCATGAAATCCCTAAAATCAAAAAGGAAAATGATTCCTTTACTTTCATCATGTGAAAGATGAAATAACCTTGAGAAAATAATAGCCAAAAAGCAAAGATTTTAGAGCATATTCTATGGCCAGATGTCCCTATTTAACCACTCCTAACCAGTTAATCTATGAAAAATATTACCCAATCAGACAACAACAACATTGCATCGAACAACTGTGGCATGAAGAGCAGCAACAGGATAAGATTCTTGAAAAGATTGACAGCATATAGGCATAAAATGCGAAGGGATAAGAGGGAAGAAACTTAACAGGATAGTGGGTAAAGTAGAAATGGATAAGCGCCTGTAATAACAACAGGTCCAACTTGTTTTAATATATATATATATATATATTATTGATCCCATTTGTTTTTTTAAGATAGGGATGTAAATTTACAACAGATGTTGGCATAGACTAAAAAACAACAAACATTTTTTTTCAACAGTTGCCTAGTCTGTATGTTGATAGAGTGGATCATGGTTCATATCTTAATAATCTCAAATAAAAAAAATAAACAACAGCATCACTCTTCTACTATTTTCTTTCAGAAGAGACAAAATTTTACCCAAAAACAAAATATCTCTCATGCAAAGATGAACCATGGTTTTCCCATCACTTTCAGTTTCTTGCAAAATTGGCTTGAAAATGTGGGTCTTTTTCATCCCATGTTATTAGTTCTTGCAAAATTGTAAAAACAGTTTTACATGTAGTCTTTTCAATGTCCTAATTACCTTGAAGAAAAAAGTCCTCATTCCAAAGCAATAAAATCTTGAATATGTCAGCAAATAAGCATATGCTTGCCCCAATAACAATGACCCAACCTTCTTCTGTCTGGTCTGGTGGCACCAAATTTACTCAAAAGTATTTATTTTTGGTTTCTTGAGACATGAACCAATGAGAAATTGTGTGAAAATATTTGTTTCTTTTGCTGCTGCTATAATGTTTAAGATATTGGATATTACTGCTGACAGTGGAATAAATTAGCTAGAACTGAATGAGGTGTTGGCAGTAATGCCATATGAGGCTGGTTGGCACTTTGCAGAGGAAAACAAAATAATAAACAAGTGACGAAAATGATGGGGAGAGAAACAGCAATAATTACCGAAAGAAAAAGATGGGAAGGTGAATGGTACGTGGAATCAAGTTTTGGATCTTGTGATGCTTTTTTATATATAAATTTCAGAGTTTTCAACTTGCTCATAAATGATGATGTTAAATAGAGGAGGCAAAGAAAACAGAAACACAAACCCAGAGGAGAAAGGGAAAAAACAACAAAAGAGAGAGAGAGAGGTGTGACTTCACATAAACTGTAGTTATTTATAGTCCACTTACTATAATATCCATTTAATCAGGCTCAGCTTTCCTCTCATTTCAAGGCAAGAACATGATATAATTCTGAAAGATCTGCTAGTGGGAAAAGACAACTTAAAAGCTAGCTGCAATGGATGTGCTTCAGTTGCAAAAGCAGTTCGTTGACTACAGAGCTTCACTCTATCATGAGGTTATTATTTTTTTTTTTTTGTTATATTAACAACTGTAGACAATAGTCTTGAAGGAAAGTTGCTTTGTTTTTGCTTTCTTGCTTTTGGATTAGACTTTTGGTAATGAGTTCTTGTTCTACGAGTAGGGTTTTCTGGATGAGCAATTTACCCAACTTCAGGAACTTCAAGATGAAAATAACCCAGATTTTGTGGTTGAAGTGGTGTCTCTTTTCTTTGAGGATTCTGAGAGACTTCTCAACGAACTGACTAAAGCTCTGTGAGGATTTCACTTTCAATTTTTTAACAGTTTCTTTTGTTGTAAACTGAACTATCAAGGACTCTATATTCTGCTATGGTTAACTCTTGACATTTCTCCTTTTTTTTTTTTTTTTTGATTTATGTAGAGAGCAGCAGAGCATAGATTTCAAAAGGGTGGATGCTCATGTTCACCAGTTGAAGGGTAGCAGTTCCAGGTATTTTTCTCGTTTTCTTTATTTTTTATCCTCGGTTTCTAATTATAGCTTCAGTTGAGAACTCTTTCCATTTTGGTTAAATCTCGTTTGCCCCCACTTGTTTCCAGCATGAGAAACACCATATGCACATGTACCACCATGATCTTTGCTGTTTCTCTGTGGGAGAAATATTAATTTTCCTGATGGAATCTTATTTAGATTCATAAGCTTTTAATCAGCTAAAATCCATTCAAATGCCATTGACAGAATGAGTTAATGACAAAGTTCTGTCACTGTAAATTTCCTTTCACAGAGTTTATATTGATGCACAACTCTTAACATTTGTAATGTTGCTGTAATAACTTTGTACTTCTTAAATTTGTATTTTATAGTCATCAGTTTTCACTTGTATGTCCCACACCTGTTGTCATACAACAAATTGTTCTTCATATTTCTGTCATAGTTCTTTCATGGGTAAAATGTTCTCAAATTAACAGCATTGGTGCTCAGAGAGTTCAGAAAGTCTGCATAGCCTTCCGCAACTACTGCGAGGAGCAGAATATCGAAGGGTGAGTTTATTTTATGCCTCAGATCATTTTTGTTGATGTTAATATAGTTTTCAGAAGTTTCAAATTTTGATGTCTTGTATAGGTGTCTTAAATGTCTGCAACAAGTGAAGCATGAGTATTCCCTTGTGAAAACCAAGTTTGAAACTATGTTCCAGGTAAGGTTGAGAAATCTACCTCTTCAGAAGAGATATTCTTTTACCAAACAGGTTTTTATTCCAAGAATTGATTTTCCATTTGTTTGAGTACTGCAGCTTGAACAACAGATCTTGACTGCTGGAGGCTCAATTCCTGTGTAATAGTACTCATCTGCAGAGAAAAAACAAGGGAGCAAAATGGGATTTTGGCTATGTAGAAAAGTTTTTCTCGTCTTTGTTGCTTTTCTTGCTGTTTTAGCGGGGTACCTAAGCTACTGAAGGGTTCTTATCTACTTTCGAGCTTAAGCTTGTATCATGTCCAGTGTATGAGCAATGACAAAGAATGTGAATAAACCCTTCCAGCTGATCTTTCCTTTCCATTCCTCTCTGTTTGTTGATCATTGAGTTTCTTTGCTCTGATAATTATCAATCGATTTAGGAACAAAATATGGAGAAATTAAACAAATCTTATCAGGAATCCTCCATCCTTTGGAGCAAACTTTGACTCTTGAGATCAGAAATGTTGGCTTAGCCAAAAAGAACTTTCACTTTCCATTAAAATGAGTCGCAACTTACATCTAGAGAACTGCTGCTGAAACAGGGCCTCACCAAATCTTGACCCAGCCCCCCAGACAATCGGCTTCTTGTGTTTCATGTTGGTATGTCTCTGAAGCACAAGCATTCGAGCAAAGCAGGAGCAGCATGATGTGGATCATTCTATCAACTCGTAGAACAAGAACAAGCTCTTCCTCTTTCATTTTTCTACTAATCCAACAGTAACTACACAGCATAGTCCTCTTTAACCCTTTAAAGCATAGTTCAGACCATGAATCTTATACTCACCTGGTTTGTCTGAAGCAAGGTCGAGGCAGCTCTTAACCATGCAAGTGTCAATTTTCACATTAAACCCAAAAAAATGTAAAAAATTTGAATGACCGGCTAAAATGAAATGGATATACATACAACAATTTTGGTCAATAAGTTCAACAACCATGTATGTACATGGAGATCTTGAAAAACGAACAAAATGCATTGACCAAATAAATATTGTCACCGACCATTCAATGTTACAGACAAGATATCTCATTGACCTACTTTAATGATTATACAATAGTGGTTACCGTTGCATTTTAGGCATTGAAAATGAAGTCGAAACGCCATGTTGTTGGGGGTGATTTCTCTCCATAAAGTCTCATTTTTTTTATAATCACCATTGATCAGTGATCTCTGTTACATTCATTGAACATGATTATTTTATAAGGTCAACTGTTTTCGCATGAGTGGGATGTCCCCTTAATCAGCTGGTAATCCTGCAAGCAAAGCCAAAATACATGCTGTAATGACAGAATATCAAATAATTTTCTTTCATCTTTCCATATTTTATAAAAATGGATATCATCATCACCCAACCAAATGACCGACCATCTACTTCAATCTTTTTCATGCTTTCAATTCCAAGATCGAACATATCACTATATTAATAAGAGGTTGATTCAAAATTTCAGGTAAAAATCCACCAGAATAAACTGGTTAGCTGGTTGCTAGGATTCATTAAACTTTACAGAATGATTCAAGAACTAAATGTAAAATCGCCTAGGAAATATAGCTTCTGAATCAGAAGAAGGAATTCACTGCAGAGAAATAGAAAAACAAAAGCCATGGGGGATGGCCAAATTTAAAAAGAAAAAAAAAAAAAAAACTGTTCCAGCTGGGAGATTCCACTATATGTTGTATCATGCTAATATTTTAAGTAATAATATAAATGACAGACGAATCCAAGTTCAGGGCTTATATGCATTGTTCATGCACTGCCATGGTGTCACAATTACAAGTTACAGCCACTCAGACATTGAAAGACATGACGCAGTACATTTATGTTGAAGAACCAGGGAGCATGAACGTTTCTTACGCAACTAAAGGTTGGTACATGTCCAAATCATCACACGAGAGCATGATGCTAAGTGCAAAGGGCTGAAATGTAACTATCAGACCTGATAATATCTGAAACTTGATGGGAAAAGATGGTCCTATACATGCTGCAGTATTCATCAAGACTTGGAGTTTGTTTTGACCAACAACAATTGGAAAAGAAAGGATAAAAGACTGACTAACTCAGTTGAGTACCCTTTATAAGAATCTCGAGTTATGTTTAGTCAGAGAATCATTGCTTAATATATTATTCTATGATCACTTATATTCTGTATTTGAAGCATATCTGAATGTTTATTGAGACAGCATTCACAAAAGCACATCTTCAAGAAACATGTTAAATTCTGCATATTCATTTGAGGGAACAGTGGAAAGATTTCCTTTGTCATAGACGTATATAAGCCTGTGTCCAACAATATAACTCCCTGCATCAGAAAATATAAGTAGACAATGTCATTAATGATCCAGGCTTTAGGGTATTCTCTTCCAGGGAGACTGATGTTTCTGTTATGGGGGCAATGCTTTTGAACAATGAAATCAATACCCGTATTCCTCACCTGTGACTTACAACAAGACTGTCATGATATTGTTTATTCTGTGCTAAATTTGTCAAAGGTCCATTGGTCAACGTACTGATCTTTGATCCTGGATCCAAAGACCACTACAGACTGCCAAACATCTTGTGCTGATGGTTGCCTGAGTTCAGGATTATCAGTATCTCCAGGACAGAGTTTTCTGATGTGTATCTGAAAAAGTGATCAACAGGCCACATACATTTAACTTGTTTTTACTCATTCATGTTTTGCGTCATATATGTATTTGAAGTGTTATCGTAGTTTTATTTTGGATTATATCTTGGATGCTAACCAGGGATAATGCCTACACAACTGGCAAAGAGGGGTCAAAGGATTTAAAATGTGAGTTTCCATATTTGAACATTCAACAATTTGCACATATAAGGATGCAAATCTGAAGCCTGGAAATGTTACCCTCTAGGACTTCGAGGTAAGTCAAGAAAAGAGCAAGTCCATATAGTGTGCCAGAGACTGAGTCCAAGTAACCACCACTACCATAGATTTTGTCTTGGCTTGCCCTACCGCAAATGCTTCAGCAAGACCAACTGGAATGTCATTGTGGCCCATCATATGTACGTGGTGCATCATGTACAACATCTATTGTTGCAGGAGTTGCCCAGCCTGTTGAGCTTCAAGAGATAAAAGAGAGCAAAACCATCATGGGTATCAACATCTGTATCGACCAGAACCCGATTGACGCTGACGATCATCAGGATCCACAAGAGCTAACCAAAGTCCCTAGTCCTCCAATCATGGTTACCACCCATGTCACTCATTAAATATATCACACAACACAATCAAACAAACTTCCATTAGTATCCTCCCATGCAAACTTCCATTAGTGACTTAAACATTGAACTTTATCAGTCTATCTCCATATCTCATTTCTCCACCATGAAAACCCTAGCCTTCAAAATCCAAACTCCATCTCCAGGTACTCTCAAAGCCGAAAACGGCCAAAAAGAAGCTGACCCATCAATCCAAAAACCCCGAACTACAAAACCCATCCCAGGAAGCCCATGACCCTGCCAAAGATTCAACATTTACAAAATCTTCCAATCCTTTGAGCCCCCAATCTTCCATGGAAGATCCTAATGAGAAGCTCCAAAATCTTAAGTCTCTTAACTCTTTACTTGTCAAGGAGGCATTTGAAAGGAGACAACAGATTGAGTACTTGGTTCAAGCCAAAGAAGCCCTTGAGGTTGAGTTGAGTGAAAGGAAGCAAATTCAGGGTGAGGAGAGTGAGAAAAATGTGAGCTTGGAGTTGCAAAATGGTTTGCTTTTGGTTTATATGGAGACCCAAACGAAGGAAATGGGTGTTGAGAGGGAAAGGGAGATTGGGGCGTTGAAAAGTAAGGTGAATAGACTAACGGGTAGTCTTGAAAATGAGAGAGAGGTTGAGTTTGGTTTGTAAAGAGAGAGATTTGGCAAGGAATGATTTTGAGTTGCAGGTTAATGAGGGCAGTTTGATGAAAGAGAAGCTGATGGAAATGGAGAAAAATGAGAGGAAATTTGTGGAAGAGATTGAGAAACTGAAAGTGGAATATGATACTTTGGTTGAGGAGAAAGAAGAGTTGAAGAAGATGAATAATTTGATGGTGAAGGAGAAAGATTTGCTGGAGAAAAACATTAAGGATATGGTAAAGGAAGTTGAGAATTTGAGAAGTCAGATTGAAGGGGTTGTGAGGGAGAAGGAAGAGATTGAGATGGAGGAAAATGAGCAAAATGTGAAGATTGATGAGATGGAAAAGGAAATGTGGAAAATGGGTGAGGTTATATTGAGTTTGAGGAAGGAAGAGGGGATTTTGCGGTCCAAAGTTTTTGAGTTGGAAAAGAATTGCGGTGAAGCTATGGATAGGGAGGCTGAACGGGCAATAGAGATTGGTGCATTGGTGGAAGAGAAGAGAGCAAAAGAAAGGAGCATTGAGAGGCTAATGGATGAAAAGAATTTTGTCTCAAGATCATTGGAGGTGACAACGGTGGAGTCAGAGGATAGGCTGAGAAGAATTGAGAAATTATTGGAGGAAAGTGATGCAGCTAGAATAGTGCTGGAAATAAATGAGAAGTAATTAAAGGACATGCAGAAGAAGATTGACGAATTGCTTGGAGACAAAATTGAGTTGGAGAAGGTCAGAGTTAGTCATGAGAATGAAAATGTTGAGTTGCGTAAAGAAGTGAGTGAGCTGACAAATGTTGTGAATAGGCTGCAAGAGGCATGCAAGAATCATGAAAGAAGAACAAAGGATTGGTTTCTGAAGTTAGCCGTTTTAGAGATTCATTTGATCAAGTAACACTTGAGAGGGACAATGCATTGAAAGGATTGGCTGAGGAGAAGCAGAATGGTGTTAACTTTAGATTGAAAGTTTCAGAAAAGGAGAAGATGCTTGAGAAAACTGCCGAAGAGCTGGCGCAGAAGAGAACTGAGTGGCAGAACCTAATCTAGGAAAAGAAGGAGATGGAGAGTCACTTTGGATCAATGAATGACGATAAAGATAGGCTGCAGAAGGACCTTTTGGAGGCAAACAGAAGTTTTAATGATTTGAGGGCTAAAATGGATTCAACCAGCATTAATTATCAGCAAGCATTGACTCTGTTAAAGAACACTGCTTCACGGTTATGTCAATCTAAAGGTGAAAATGCTGGAAAGGTGAAGGAAGAAGAAGCTGCTATTGCTGAACAGAAGCTTGAAGATGAAATTGAAGCATTTGCAGCAGAATTAGAAGCAATCAAACAAGCATTTAGAAATAAAGAGACTGTGGCTCAAGACTTGAAGCAGAAACTTGATTTTATGGAGAAATCTATGTTGGAAGCACAGAAGAAAAAGAGTTTCTGGACTTTTTTCTCCTCAGCAACAACTCTTTTGGTTGCAGTATCTATTGCATATGCTGCAAGAGGACGCTGAGTGGTTTGGTTTATTGGTTAATTTTGTTTCTAGCACAAGTTTTTCTTACTTCTAGGATTAACTGATAAAACACTACGTGAAAACATGCTATGTTGCTACTTTTGAACTTGAGCTCAGTGATAAATAATGCTTTTTAGATAAGTCAATAATCATAACCTCAGAGGATGCTTTTTAACTGCTTTATGAGCATAATTCCTATATGTTAATGCTTCATATTTTTTGGTTCTATTGGTCTGCCGTGTGCTCATATGTTACTCCATTGCTTACACTCTTTGTTTGAGGAAAGTTAAAAAATGAAAATTGCAGGCTATATCAGGTGAACCAAATTGATGATATATGCCATCAAATCAGTTAATATGAAGCAAAAATTTTCTATTTCTTAAACTAGCGCATTCCAAGGACTCTTTTCTTGCTTGATTTGAATATGGTAGTTGTTTGAAGTTCTATGCATTCATTGACTAGGTATGCTCTCTGATGACTATTTCACTGGAACATTTATAAGCAAACTACATCTCATACAATTACTAATATTTATGCTTCACTTTTATGGTAGGTAGACTTAGATTTTGGGAGTTGAACCTTTTGTGAGTTCATTGTACCTGGTTCTACACGTCCAATCATTTTGGTGCAGTAGCTATTATTGTTTTGGACAATCATATGGTACAGCCCTTCAAAACAAGTCATGTATGGTATAATCTATAGACCACAAAGTCTCAACATTCAGAGCTTAAGAAGGTAGGCAATGACAAAACTTGAAAATGAGCCGGCTATTGGCAAATGGTAGGTAAGTTTTGGTTGTGACATTGATATCCCACAGAAACTGGTGTAGAAATCAGATTTTATCCAACACCCTTTTTTGCAGCAATCTCAAAAGATACCATCTATATCTTGATAAGGAGAGAATGCAGGCCACCCTGCAAAAAGCACTGTCATAATGTCATCTGATTCATATTGTGGCACTATAGTGTAGAGAAAGTCAGGCACAGCCATAGTATTTCATTCACTTTCTTCCATGGCCATCATAAAGGCATAATAATTCTGTAAAATTTGACTGGACCTACAGCAGTCAATCCTTTCATTTTCATATTCAAGACCACATTACCGTAAATCTCTCAATGTATACAGATCGTTATCCTAAAGATTTGACATTTTTATATTCTGATGCATGGTATCATCCTGGTCGGAAAAAGGGATTGGCTTTAGAAAGGTAAAATAGGTGAAAAACTTTGAATGCTGGGGAACTTTTAAATTGTTTTAAGTTATAGCAGGTCCAAAGTTTTGTGCTTTCATTTGGAGGACCTGTATCAAAAGATGCGTTTTATGATTAAACTCTTAAACCATCAATAATCAAGTTGGAAATTTATTAGTTGAAATTTCACGTGATGCATATGCAATCCTAGTCAGAAAACATGATTATAAACAAAAACAATCCATTATGTTATTCGAAATTTTGAAGGAGAAAATAAATAAATAAATAAAGAGGAATAGATTAAGCAGAAATGTAGATGGCAACAAATTGTGGACAAAATAAAACAAACTTTAATTTTTATTCCAACTGTTTTTAGTAGGTCCAAAAAAGTCAATTAGACACGGCTTGATGTCTTCATCAAAAACTTAGCTGTTCTTCAACACTATGCTAATATTCTTTTAGCACTATGAAAGTAAATCCTAAAGGTTTACAAAAAGGTCGGTGTGTGCTTCTCAAGTGGTCCACTTTAATGCATCCAAATTGCAACCACCATTGTGAAGGCTTTTTCCCTTTCCAAATAAGCCAAATTTTCTTTATTTTCTGCAGCTTCAAGCTCCAAATTACTCTTCCATTACGGGCATTCAAGAAAAGACAAGAATTCATCAAATCAATCTCAATCCATGGCAAAAAATAAAACGACTAGAATTTGCTTCCAATCATTTATCAGTGTCCAGATATCGTTTAATGGATGAAATTGCAGCACGTTTTGATTCCTCATTCAGTCATCTCAAAATTATCTTCTGGGAGTGAAATTTGGCAGATATTGTTTTTAGGTGTTCGTTCTAATCAATCATTCAGCCAAAGGTTCACCCAGCCCTTCAGGATTAAACATATGGATAAGCCAAAAAGCTGCGAAGTCACTGTTTTTGTGCAACCCTGAGTGGAACATACACATTCCATGAATAAGAAGCTTGAAGCTCATCAACACAGTCTGATCCTTCACCCCAACAATCAAACATTAATTCAGTTTCATGGAATTTGCACTGCCCCCTTATTTTAAATGCTCAAACCTGTTTAATTTGAAAGATCAAAGTTGTGAGTTTATACTACAAATCCAAGAGGAAAAATCTTGCTATCAGAAGGTTCCAGGAAACCAGTAATTTTGAAGTAATATAGTGATCAAGAGTTCAAGGCTCTGCCTTGCTTGTCTACGGCAAAATATAAACAACAGACATGATAAGTCAGAAATCTCTAATTTAAAATTTCTCAAACTTATAGAACATAGTTGTATTTACACTTGCCAAGTAGAATGTCAAACAAGAATATAGAAAACAGAATACTGAACCATAAAAGTGAGGGGAAAAAAGAACTAAAAGACAACGGATGAGACAACATTAAGCAAACACCTTTATATATACTAACATATATGTATAAATATACTGAGCCACAACACCATGAAACCTTTCTAATCCATGTCCTAAAATTAGCTTATGTAACATTAGCCCAGGTCCGATCTCTGATCTAGGCACCGAATGTTATCCATATATTCCTGTCTTCTTCTCCTTTGTGGCAAGAAGCCAGAATTTGTAAGTCTTAGGCTTAGTGGTCTGCTAAACATAGTACAAGCCTCTAACCGCGCAAGAGCTTCATCAAACTGTAACACCCAAAGTCAAGGTGATTGAATGCAGACCAGAACACATCCTTGACCAGCTACATGCTGAAATTCCTTTTCTTCACCAGATAACCAAGCCCGGTAGTCTGTAAATCAGGAAAATGCAGAGCTCAAGAGAGCCAACTAGCAATAACGCCATGATTAATATGAGAGTAAGTAGTAATATTACTACACAATCATAAACTCAAACTTCTTAATCACCACAAGTGGAACGTGGAGCTCCTGCCCTTTATGGCTGCCTATAAGTAAAGTTAATTCTATTAACGGTTAGAACTCACAAATATACTTATCTCACCCATAACAGTATGGAAATGATTGTTATTCGGCAACAAGTAGAAACCAATTGTTGCCTGTTCCAGATATAAAAGTTTAACCTCTTGGCCAGCCTTTTTGAGTCCTTCAACATAAGCCAATTGCCAATCCTGAATAAGGTCCAAGCCAGCAACCACAACTAAACTCTTTGGAAATTTGATTCCTTCAAGACTTCTACCATTAGGACCGAAAGGATTACATGCAGGATGGTCTCTGTCTGCTCCTTCAGGGAGAAAAGCTCTCCAGTACCAGTCCCGGTCTTGTAGAGTAACAAAATATTTGCCATCTAAATGCTTTTCAGATTCAGTTCTTTCTTGTCCACCAAACATTGGATTGAGCAATATATTTCCCAATACATTAATTCCTGATTCTATGGCTCGTGCAGCAACATGGTGCACAATGTTACCACCAGAGCTATCTCCAGCCAAATATATATGTACCTTTGAATCTTTCTGACTTTGAAGCCATGATCTAGAGTTAACCCACTTAAGAGCAGTCCACCCATCATCATAAGCACACGGATATCTATTTTCGGGTGCACGCCGATAATTCACAGATACCACAACAGCCTTACAAATAACTACCAATCGGCGACATAGAGTGTCGTATATAGCACTATTTGCTGAGGAATGTGCAAAGCTTCCACCATGAAAGAAAATTATAACAGGGACAACCTCAGCCGTAACAGGCTTTGCAAGTTCAAAAATGTTCGGCTGAGGCTCTTCAGCAGTAGCTGGTCTATAAATCCGACTAAGGAGGTTTGTACCGCGATCAATGATGACATCAAATGAGAAAACCCCATCAACCGGGTTTGCATTAGCAAGGACTTTCCTATCAAGAAACTCTGCCAAGTGACGATTGAAAGTGCCATCAGGTCGACGAAGAAGATTGTAAGCCAACTTAAAATTGGATATAAGGACCCATGTATTTAGGGGAACCACCATCTATTCAGATACAAAGGTAAGAAGTAAATCAAAAAAGAGCTTCATCTTCCCAAGAAACAAAGTGCAGTAGATATACATACAGCAATCAAGACCTCATGAAATCAAATCTAAAACAAAGAAGATTATTCCTTACCAATTTATATTGACTGTCTAAAGTTACCTCATAAATGAACAGAAAACCCTAGAGAACCCAGAAATTAACTGTACTCACTCTCTCAAGATTCACAAAAAATAGTTAAACAATAAACTAAGATGCAAATAACCAATTCAAAATTGGCCATGTAACTCCATAATTTTAACAAATTATTCAAGTCAACTGTTATCCTCCAAAAATGGTGATCCAAACCAACAACACGTAGGACTCCACCAACTTATATAATCTTCAAAATCCAATCAAATCCCCGAATAAAACTATCCTAAAGATTGAACGAAAATCAGAAAATTTCAACTTTCTTGGAGAAAAAAGAAAGCCACAAACCAATATCACAAAAAACCAAAAACAAAAACAAAACAATCAGCAAAATCATATATGATATTTAAGCTCAAAAAGGAAACTAAATTGCTCCATACCCCAAAAGCAGGAAAAGAATCAATTTTTAACAACTCAAAACCCCCAAAATTAAAAAAAAAAAAAACCTTGGATAAAAAAGATTTGATAAGACTACAAGCTCTAACAAAAAATCAGCTAAAACTCAGCTTTATTCAACCAAAAAAAGCCAAAAATATACATATCAAAATCCATCTTTGACAACCCAATTCTGGAAAGAAATGATAAAAATTGAATAAAAAACGCAAAGAAGGAAAAAAGATCGTACCTTGCACTCATTGAGGTTGACTTCATTACTTCCAGCCATTTCCCCTTCTTTAAAGACTCGAAAACAAAACACAATAGCTTAAAGAAGATCCTTTTGAAGAACAACCCAAAAACCCACAATTCATATCACAAACCCAAATAAAAAAACAACCCAACAAAGATTTTAATCTTTTCTTTTTCTTTTTTCCACTCGAAGATCCCTCCTTTTTTTCTTTTTTCACCCTTTTTTCTTCTGTTCAACTCATTATCAAGTTCATAAGCAAAAAAACAAAAGCTTTTTTTTTTTTTGTAATAATCTCTTAAAAAGATAACAGTGAAACACAGAGTAAACGATAAATTATAAATCTCACTGCAATAAAACAGAGAGGGTTGAATGTGTGTTATTGAGCGAGTGGGTGGAGGACATGCACAACGCGAATGTGGACATGAGAGAAGACAAAGCCACCGCCCGTAAGATAGCTGTTCTATGGGTCCCATAAATTTTGATTTAATTAATATATTTTTTCAATATTTTTATTTTTTTAATCATAAAGAACTTTAAATCTTTTTTGGCCAAAAAGAGCCTCGTAAACGATTGATCGGTTCATAATTTTCGACGCGGGATTATTTTGGATAAATTAATATGCTATTAGAGTAGATATTTAAAAATTATAAATTTAAAAAATTTTAAATATAAAAATTTTTTATAATCAAATATGTTATAGGATAGAAAGGATTTAAAAATATATTAAAAACTTTAAAAAAGTTTATAACTTTCATAAGTAAATTTTATTTTATTTATAATTGTTTGTTTTATTAATAAATTTTAAAATATTATTTGTGATTGTTAAGTTTAAAATGTTTAATAAATGAATATAAATAAATAAAAATTAAATTTATTTATGAATTGTTTGTTGAATAATTTATTCAATTATATTTTTTGAGTTAATGAATCAAATATAAAAAAATCTTATTTTATTTATGATTTATTTTTTAACTAATAAATTTTAAAATATTATTCGTAATCATTTATCAAATTTAATAAATAAATAAAATTAAATAGAAATTGAGTATTTTCAATAACTATTATCATATATTTCGTTTATTTACACTTTTATTTAGTCACTTTTAGTTTGATCAAATTAGAGTAAAAATCTTATTATTTATCAAAATTTAAAATTTAATCCCTATACTTACTAAAATCTCATTCAAAAGAGTCGAGTTAAAAGTAATTAACAAAGTCTAAGGCAAATCAATCCCGATTCAACCTTTTTCTCTCTTTTTTATTTTAGAATTAAAAATATATATTTTAAAATTTTTGAATATTTATTTAAATATTAATATAAAAAATAAATAATATGATAATGATTTGCCATTTATGTCACATATAATTTCTTTTTCGATATTAATATCATATAAGCAACTTGGCTAATATTATTAGTAGGAATTATCAAAATATTTCACGAAATGAAATTTTGAATGTTAAAAGTAAAATTTTATTTTTTTAATATTAAATTAACAAAAAATATATATAATATATAGTTCCTTTGTCCTTTTTTTTTTTTTTCATTGTGAACCCCATTCACCCAAAGAAAATCAATCTATAATGGCCCCAAATGACCAATCCTTAGATAATTGGCCCACCTCTATAGATTTTAACCCATTTTGATGATATGGATGGGAAGGACCCCATCCAAATAGGAACCATCCATCATATGAATTTCAAAAGGAGGATTTTATAAAAAAAAAAAAAAAATCACAAAATGTCAAGGAATATGTGTGTTTATTTATTTATTTTTAAGAAGAGGGGAATCAAAGAAAAAGTACCCGTTGTCCTTTGCTAGAACAAGTACGTACGATTGAGAGTACTTATGAATAGGTTACATCTTTCTCTTTGATTGGTGGACATTTTGATATAAAACGCTTTTCAACAACAAGCCACATTTACAAAAATTCACACACATCCAAATTAACAACAAAATTATCAAATCCAATTGAAGGAAAATGGGTTCCAACTTTCAAAGGGAAGGGTACAAATCAAGTGTTTTGAATTTAAATTCAAGATATGAATATTTAGTTTAGTCTTTTAGAATTAGAGTTTAATTTTTTTTTTCATTTACATATTTAAGAATTGGTATGGCAACCCAAGATTAATCCTCTCATATTTCAAATAGTACTATTTCAATGTTGCATCTAATGATTAGGTGAAAAATATTGAGTTAAAATTTTTTAAAAATTTTAACTTAAATGTATAATATACTATTAATAAAATTTTAAATTTAATTTAATTAATTTTGATATTTTATTTTGATATAAAAGTGAAGGATCAATACCCATCGCATGTCATATGCATACTTAATCTTTTTGACAAAGGTTTTTTTTTTTTAATATTTTAATTTGATTAGCATAATCTTTTTATTACGCTTGATTGTACATTATATTAGGTTAATCACATGGTCATTTTGGAATTTTGCATGAATTTCCAACTAAAGTATGATTTTTTTAACTATTGTCATTAAATTAATTCATATCTTCAAATAATATGTAACTAATTATCAGCAAAATAATTGTTAAATGTAGCTCAATATCATAAAATATGGGATTAATCATGTCATACTTATAATTACAAGCATTACTGTATATTTATATAAAAGAAAAAAATGATTTATGGTCATTTGATCTCAAAAACAATTTCAATGATTAACATTCATTCAACTTCGATGATAAATATTTTTATATTCGAACCATTTGGTATTTTTAAGATTTTATTTTTTCATAAAAAAATAAAATAATTTATATTTCTCAAACATTTTGTAAAATGAAAAAAAAATTATAATTCAGTGGATTATCATGGCTATTTAGAGGTATAAATATTCATAGATTGGATAGAGTGAAATTCAAGTTGAACTCATTTTTAATATTAATAATTTATATATTTATTTTGATTTGATTTGATTCAAAATTTGAGTCTCACAAATTTTTTAAATTCGATATGGATTAAAAAAAATAAATCTTAAACTCACATATTAAATTTATTTTATATAATAAAATTTTTTTAAAAAGTGTAATTAAATTAAATTTAAGAGGATTATATTTAATTTATAGATATAAAAATTTAAAATAACATTTATATATGTAAAAATTAAAACTAAAAACTATATAAAAATAAAAAATTAATTTAATTAAAAATAGATAAAGTTTATTTTTAATTTATATATAATTCACATATATATAAATATCAAATTTATATATATATAAATTCAAATCATTTAGATTCGAATTTTAAAATTTTTATTCAATATTCTACTTAAATTTTAAATGAATTAAAAAATTATATCTAAATTTATTTAATAAATTTTAATTTTTTATTTAAATTATTTTAAAAATTAAATAAAATTTTAAATTTAAACGAATAATGTATCCTTTGAACAAGTAAACATGAATGAAGTGGAATATTGTCCATTGTCCTTGCAATTCTCCTAAAAGAATATGCCCTGTTGGAAACACGTTGCATCAAATAATCATATAACAAAACAAAAATTTTATATATATTATTGCAAAAATGACTCATGAAGCAAAAACAAACAGCTGGCATCTGTCCCTGCTGTCATTGTCCATGGCCTTCACTGTCAAAGCCTCAAAGGGGCAGCTTTGGGGTCTTTTTACCATTATTGTTTTAGGCACCCATCTGTCCTTGCACTGTCCACAATGGTTTTTGAACTTCCATTGGCGTCTGTTGGGTCAACAACATGGAATACTTTTTGAATCTAGTGGCTTAGCTTCTTTCCACAAGGATGCAGATTAGAGGGGAAAAATTAAAAATTATAATATTGAATTAATTTTTTATTTTATTTAAATTAAATTTGAATATTAAATACATATTAAATTTAAATCAAATTTTAAAAAATAAAAAATTTAATTCAATTAAATTATATATTTTTATTAATTTTATATATATTTTAAATTTTTATAAAATAAATTAATTATTTTATACTTAAATTTATTTGATTATATTAAAAATTATATTAAATAATATACTCAAAAATAAAAAATTTAAATTTAAAAAATCAAAAAATTCAATTCAAATTTAAATTAAATTTAAAATTTTAAAATTTTATATATTATTTAAAAAATTAAACCAAATTAGATCCGATCAAAAACATTATCATCCTTAAATTTTATTCCCCTATCCCTCAATTCTTTGTGTATGTCAATGGACCAAATTTCACCACATCATTCTTCCTACTTTTCCTTTTAATATCTTTTGGCATTTCAGCAAAATTTGAACTCAAATCTCTAAAAGATGTCAATTTTTATGTGAATTGTATGATAAGTTTAGCTTAAAATGGTACTTTGATGTAATTAAAAATTTATCTTCTTACTTTCTTAGATATATTGCTATAAGAAAACATTTCCACTATTTATGTAAAAAAAAATGCCAGACTTCTAATTATAAAGATGTTCTATTTTATAGTTGGCAAGCACATGTTTATTAAGTTATTTAATGTATATATATATATATATATAATCCTAGAAGATTGGGTATTGATAAAAATTTGCCAAGGCCTAAGGGGAATCTCTTTGGCTTTTTAGGTTTGGAATGGTTGCATGGTTGGTGTTGGCAATGAGTAAAATTGGGAAGTAGATGACATTTCTAAATCAAGAATTATTTTAGAGATATAAATGGATAGTAGATAAATAGATATATGTTATTGTTAGATTTATTTATATTAAATTTGAATAGTTACAAATGTATAATTAATGAATTCAGATATAAATTTATTATTCATGATGAATTTAAAATAAAAATATGGATAATATTTATTTTATATTTAATATTTAAATTTGTTTTAATTTTAACAAACAGTGATGAATATATGAATTTATTATTTGTTTACGTATCAAAATATATAAAATTTATGTTTATGGAAGGTTTCGAATCTTAATAAATAATTTGTATTTATTATTAATTAAAAATGAATAAAAATTTTAAATTAATTTTTATTTATTTTATATTTATTTAAACCCTAAAGCCTAGGTTAAGTTCCATCTCATGATTTATATTTTGGGCTTTATAGGCCTAAAACAATGAAGTTTTGTGAATGATTTAAAGCCCAAAAACAAGAAGGTGCTTTTGAATAACTTTGGGCTCCTTTAAGAGGGCAACAATTGGGCCACGGGCACCTTTAACCGTACTCCGACACCGTTTTAGCTTGAAACCAAGACACCTACCCGACAAAGAACCAAACAAAATAAGAAGAAGAAACATTTTCCCGCGAAAACCTAAAAATTCTCCTGCCACGTTGGCAATCCTCGTGAACCTCCATTCCACCAATCAAATTCATTCAAGCTCTGCTATATAAACCACCGCAATCCACTCTTCTCAAACATTCAATTGATCTTAGGCCTCTGCTTCTACCATTTCCATCTTTGAACGAAAATTTAGGGTTAGAGATTGAAGATGAGTTCCATGGGAGGGTCAACGAAAGGAGGGAGGGGAAAGCCAAAGGCATCGAAGTCCGTGTCGAGGTCACAGAAGGCTGGGCTTCAGTTTCCGGTGGGGAGGATCGCGAGGTTCTTGAAAGCCGGGAAATATGCTGAGCGTGTCGGTGCTGGTGCTCCCGTCTACCTCTCTGCCGTCCTTGAGTACCTCGCTGCTGAGGTGCGTTTAAAGGAGTTTTTGATTCGTGTTTTGATTTTGGAGAAAGTTGGGTTTTTTTTGGTTACGATGTTAACGTTAGCTGATTTGGGTTGTTAGTTTTTCGGATAAAGTTGTGATCTTTGATAAGCTTGTTCGACCTTGATTACTTGGGTTGTTTTTTATTTGCTTAAGTTATCTCGAAATGTGTTTTTTGTGTGAATTTGGATTTATTTGATACTTTAATCGGCTTTCATAAGCCTTCTTTTGGCCTTGCATTCAATTCTTTTTACATGTTTCAGGTTCTAGAGCTTGCTGGAAACGCAGCGAGAGACAACAAAAAGAATCGGATAGTTCCAAGACACATCCAATTAGCAGTGAGGAACGATGAGGAGTTGAGCAAGCTTTTGGGTTCGGTTACTATTGCAAATGGAGGTGTTTTGCCCAACATTCACCAGACACTTCTCCCGAAGAAAATGGGAAAGGGCAAGGGTGATATTGGATCAGCTTCTCAGGAGTTTTAGGCCTTTTCTTAGTCTTTGTTTTGTTGGTTTTTTAATACAGTTGTATGATATAAAGATGTTTAGTTTTAGGGTTTTTTTATTTTGGGCTTTGAACTCCATATGTTATCTCTTGAGCAAAGCAGTTGAGCATATTAAGCTACTTATGTTAAATTTACCTAGTTCCTTTTTTCCTCTTCTCTCTGATTGAACTGAGAATTGAATCTGGCTTGCTTTGCCCTAAAGCTTTTGTTGTACAAGAATTGATTGATGTATCAGAAACTAAGAATTTTGTGTAAATCTCCTTGTTTTGAGCAAAACTGGACCAATGTTGGATTTTGCAGTGTGTACAATGCATTGCTCTTGGGCTCCTGCTCAGATGTGAACGAACGAAACTAGCTAAGATTGTAAGTTGAATTAGAGGTTCCGATCATAACCTAGTCATCATCCATTTGTACGTGCAAGTACAGAAGAAAGCATCATTTTGCGTTCTAAGCCTCTCTTTAGTTGCTCAGGTCCCTCTCCCAAAGGACAGCTGGTTGAGGGACGCCCTCATTGATCCTGGGGACTCAACACACCTTCTAGTTTTCCTTCCCAGCTACATTATTCTCTATTGCATCAATACATTGGCCAATTGATCTCCCCAATGTCATTGCCTCTGCCAGTCTGGGTCTAGTTTCACTATGGCGGTGCGAGACTGAAACAGTATTCAGATACATAAGGTTGTTGCAAGGGGTTTCTACAATTTCAGAAATAGGCTTCTCTTCAATGTCACATGGCAGCAATATATGAGTTTTCTTTAGAGTGTAAGTACCACTACTTTGGGATAGATACAAGGCCAAATTTGTTTATCTTGTGATGATTTACATATTCTAAGGCGTAAGGTTTTCGGTTGATTTGAGTAAATTTGCTTGCCGGCTCCCCAAAGACTCTACTTGGATGAATTCAGATTTAATGGAATAGAAACTACATCTCTTCTATCACCAGGGGATGGAACTCTTGGTTCAATAGAAAGCAACGGGCAGCTTGCTGCTATCTTAGGAGGTGTTGCAGCATCGAATGCTTTAGTTTTAGGCTGCAGCAAATCCTGTTTATTTCTTTGGGATTCTTGCTTCTGTGGACACTGGACTTGGTAATTTCCTCATGCTGATCTAACTTATTTCTTTCAGGAACTGTCCCCTTCTTGATATCGACTTTACAAGTTTATTCTTATGAATTTGTTTCATTGGCTGAGAAGAGATTTCTTGCTCAGAATTCATTGCTCTAAACATGGATCTATTGGTTGACTTACAAATAGTAATGGGGCAAAAGCCACTGTTTTCTGCAAAATGCTAGTGTTTTGTATAGGTTTCAATCAATGGAGGAGTTGTAGCTCGGTCCTCGACACAATTGGTCACATTTTCAGTCAGAAATACCACATGAAGATTATTCAAGTAAGACCTCTCTCTTTCATTTTCTACTTTGCTGGAATATTGGTCAGTATGTAGTTCGTGGTCACAATGTGTAAATTACTTCCTGTGTATGTTTGAATGCTGCTCTCTCTGTCTAGACCACCTATTAGCTGATTAGTCTTTCATATTGCTGAAAAGGTTAAAACTGATTTCTATAGAGACCAACTACTTACCATATAAGATTTATGTGCAGCGTGAAGCTAGTCATTTCTTGATTGCTTACGTGGTGGCCATTCTTCCCCGAGGATATATGTTAACTAGTTTGGAAACTCTAAAGAAAGAAGGATCACTCAATATTCAAGCAGCAAAAGCTTTAGTTGATTTTGAGTTTCTTGAAGAAGAAGGTTGTTTTCTTCAATGTGTTCATTTATGTAGCTTTCTCTTATCTCTGCTATATTCCACTCAGGTGCTGCAGCTGCCTCCCATTCTATCTTCAGTTTGGGGGAGATAAGGGTTGCCTTATCCAAGGCCCTAAATAATGACCCTAACCCTACTTTAAAGAAGAAACAAATGATATTCTAGCAGAGCGAAAGGCTCTACCATACTTCAGTTAATTGTATCATGGCCATAACCAACTCACAGGTTTATAAGCTAATATAGCCATAACCAACTCACAGGTTTATAATTGGTTATGCCTTGTAAAAAATGGCAAGAACTCTTATGGTAACAATGTTTCTGGTCCAGACACTGAAGAGATTCTAATGCATAGAACTAGCTGGTGTGGCAACTGAATTTATGTTTTACGGATATGCAGAGGAAGGCCTTGCAGATATAACCAAGGTACATAATTCCTTTGCTCAACTTCTATCATAAATCGAAAATCAAGCTGCAGGAGTTTCTCTACTGATTGAACTTTCTGGTTATGGAGCAGTTAGATGTATTGCTCAAAGGCTTGGGATTCACACAGAAGAAAGAAGATTCCCAAGTTACATGGTCTGTGCTAAACACCATCCTACTGTTGCGTAGCCATGAAGTAGCACAAGCTAAACTTGCAGAGGCAATATCCCTGGGAAAATCTGTAGGATCTTGCATCCACATTATAGAGAATAACATCAATGATGCTGACATCTAATTGCAACTGGCTTTACTGGCTAACTTTTTTTTTTTTTTCATTTTTTTCTATTATTTTCCTTTTTTTTCCTCTTGATTACATGAGATTGGACTTACATATACATAAAAAAAAATGCTGTCAATATGGTATATCACTATATCTTCTGGTTTGATTACAAATAAATATATTTAATGTAGCTGATTGAATTCTGCAATTTCTTCATAAATTTCAAGTTCCATGACTATGAAAATTCAAGGTTCAACTTATTAGTAAAAAACCTTCTATTGGAGAATTATTCATAGCATTAATTTTTCTTTGAAAAACAAAGTTTAATTTACTTTTATTTTTTTTTTTTAATACTATGAACTATTAAAATAAATTTCTTAGCCTAATTGTCAAAGGTTTTTTCAAAAAGAAGTCCCATAAGTCAAATAAATGAATTAAAATTTTGGAATTGGAGAATTTCTTCATATTCTGATTAGAATTTTGGTATCTTATCCCAATTCCCAAACGCTAATCAAAATTTCAGAATCCAAATGATCCAAAGAATATTCAAAAATGAAAAAAAAAAAAAAAAAACAGTTTCTGAACGCTTATCCCAGCTCAAGTTTGTGTACTTACGTACCATGATGTCAGAACAACATCCGTGAAACCGAACCCGAACTACAAAACTGCCACATCAACAAACAAAAGGCACCCAAAGGTCAAACCAAGCCAGACCCTGAAAATCAAACAAAAATTTCCCAAATCCCCTTATTTTTACCCTTCTCGAAGACCCAGAAGAAGAAAATTTTTTTTTTCGCAACGATGGCTGTACATTGGGTACTGATATGCCATGGCTTGGTAACTCTTACAGTAGTTGTTTCGTTCCTTTGTGGGCAGTGGCCTATCTTCCAAGGAACACCCATCAGTTCCATCCACCGTTTCATCACTTTTGGAGCCTATCAATACTTCCTGTACTTCTGCACTTTTCTCTGATGGGTTCTTTTTTTTTTTTTCTTCTTCTATTCCAGTGACTGATTTTTGGTTGTTTTTTGTTTCAGGAAGTTTGTGGGGGCTGTTTTTGGAGATAAGGGAACAAATTTGATCCTTTCTGTTGAGTATTATTGTTGTGATAGGCCTAACCCTATCTTGCAGGTAAAATTTAAACAATTGAATTTATAGAAATTGAAGCCCCTGGAGAATGAGTTTGATTTCCTTTTCTGAATGAGTTTGTTTTGTTGTCTCATAGCATGCTCAGGAATGGGTGTGAATGAGTTTTGGTATGTAGTGTGTTGTAATTTGGAATTTTATTGTAGATTAGAAGTGGGATACATAAAAGTTGTGTTCTCTGGAAACATTAGAAAGCAAGATAGCATGGGTAATGGTGTTTAATTTCACTTAATTTGATGCTAAAACATTGAATTATGGGATTCTTTTGGTACATTACGTATGAGAAAGTCCTAGGGTGGAGGGAGAGCTTTAAACTTGGACGTTAACCCTCACAAGGAAGGGTAACAACATCTAGGCCAAGCCTAGGTTGTTACATTGAATTTTAGGATGATTGGCACTGTTCTTTCTTCTCTTTGATACATGGATTCAGTCGATTGGAAATCTTGTGCTTTAAATTTGATGAACGAGAATGTACTGAATAGAGGTTCTGTTCTGTCAAAGCCCTACGTGAACTCCATTTAAATGTCGAAACTCACCGCCATCACGTATGCATCAAATATTAGAAAAACCTTTGCAATATCATAGAAAAAATTTCTTCTGATGCAAATGTAAGAATAGATGATTTAGATGTCCAAAGGTTCTAAATTATCTTTAAAAGTGCACCACATTCTCTTTTTACATATCCACTGCTAAGCAAGATAATCTTGTACTTACGGGTTTTTCTATACAAGAAAAGCAGGGGTGGTGGGGGGCTTCTCCACTTCTATTATAGTAGAGGGGTCATTCTTTTCTCTTACTTTTTCTTTGTAACAGATTATATACTTGGCAATAATTGGAACAATTTATTGCATTATAGCGAAGACCTCCTTTAGCTATATTCCTGGGTATTATCTGAGTGGAATTCATAGGTATGTGCTAAGAAGTTTTTCTAATGTAACCCAATTTCTTCAAAATGAATGCCTTCTTTTTCTCCTCAGATTTTGTATATTTTGCAGGTATGCAAGCATGTTGGCTGTTGGTATCGGCATTCTGCTCTTTATATTGACTAGCTTTTCTGATCCAGGAACTGTTAAGGCAGAGAATGTTTCACAATATCTATCTGCTTATCCTTATGACAATATCATATATACAGAGAAAGAATGCTCAACTTGTAAACTTCCAAAGTACGTTCATTACTTTGTTGTGCTATTTATTGGTAGCTTTTTAATTCTGTAGGATGTGATGGGATTATTCTATTGATTTAGACCTGCTAGATCCAAGCACTGCAGCATATGCAATCGATGTGTTGCCCGCTTTGATCATCATTGTGGATGGATGGTTTGACATCTTGAACTATTCTTTTCTTCTTTATTTTATTTTGTGTAGCTAACTGTTCTATGTGCAGTATGTGAAAAGTATCTGAATCTCATGACTACTTAAGGGGGTGTTACTTTTTGCAGAATAATTGTATAGGGGAGAGAAATACCCGATACTTCTTGGCTTTTCTTTTATGGTGAGTTCTGCACTATTATCAGCAGCTAGCATTCTATATTATCATTTAGTTCACTTAATTGCCTTTCACATTTTTGTTCACCCTTCGACTGGATGGATGGTAATGTTTTCTCGGAGAACATGAGCAGCCTTTAATTACTAGGTGGAAACCACATATCATTACAGCTCTTACCATCAATTAGTTGGTCATAGTTAAGGTTTTGTTGTTAATATGACTGGAGCTTTTCACCATCCAATTTCCATTATTGTAAGCTAGTTGTCAATATCAGGTTGCATTAATTTTAGTTGGAGTGATGATCTAAATCTAGTAATTGAGCATGCTGTTGTTTTATCCTTTAATATAGATCAATTGTTCATTTGTGGCTTTGTTCGAGATTGAGAACACTGCTCATCCTTTTGTACCCTGCTAGTATGAGTTACAAGACAAGCCGCTTTTCCATTTTGGTTAACAAAATTCATGTTAAATTCATATTTAGCATTCTGCAGGCATTTCCTTCTTTGCGTGTATGGGACAATTGCAATCGGATTGGTTCTTGCTGGACAATTGAAAGAATTGAGAGTTATATATATTTTAACTGGTAAACCAATTTGAACTATGGTTTTCTAGTTTCTTAATGATCTGCAGACTAACATTCCATGCCATTTTCTTTGTTTTTCCAGTTTATTATGGTGTAGATAATTCTTTCGGCAGTTTAGCTCCTTACATTGTGCAGGTGAGTGTAACATATATTCTGAATTATTGCTCGGTTTTATTGCTTGATGTGTGGCTACAATTTTTGTTTCGAAACAACTGAAGGAAGATTAACTTCCTAATTCCTATAGTGTCTTCATTATTTTGGGATTTTTCTGCTTTTAGATTTTGGGTCTTACAGTGGATATTTTGAGTTTAATAAATGGTCTTTTGGCTTGTGGCAGTGGCTGTTGGGCTCATATAACACTCAAATACTTCTTATGGTGTTCATGGCCATAGTTTCTCTCTTATTGGCGGGTTTCTTTGTGTATCATGCTAATCTTTGTCTCACAAACACCACGACAAATGAGGTGAGATTAACTTAGACCTTGTTCAGTAGTTTGTTACCTTAATTTGACTTTTTGATGAACGGTTATTACCTTAGTTTGCCAACCCATCCTTTAGCGAACATAAACCTGGAAATACTTGGCTATGCTGATTATGTTGTTAATGAAACCATGAAACTAGAGTAAAATGTTCTCATGTGTTTCAAATACAGACCTTCAAGTGGCAAGACTACATAAGCTGGCGGAAGAAACTGAGTGAAGCAAGAGCAAGTACTGCAGCATTGAAAGCAAGCATCAGTGGGGTGAATGGTGAAGGAAAACCTCCGGAGAGCAAATGTAGATCCTTCTTTAGAAGGTCCCCTCTAGAGGATACTGAAGCTGTCATAAAGAATAATGTGTATGATAAAGGATTCTTTCTCAATTTCTATGAGGTCATTTTTCCAGTTTCGACAAGAGCATCATTTTTGCAGACCAAATCAAAATCTGGCTAAGATTGTCAACTGTTAGTATGTATTCATTCACTCGACGTCCACCGTGATATGTGTTTTCCTCTGGTTATCTTGTTGTCAGCCACAACTTCAAGATCGATGATGACATCTAAATCTCAAGGGTTACATTTCAAGCATACAGCTTCTTGATGCCTGTAGTATTAGTTTTTTAAGGAAAAGGGAAACCCATACATCTTATATTTTGTAAGAACAGCAATTCCACATTGGAATTGTGTCTCATTGTCATGTTGCAGTCTCACCATAATATAAGCAGTGTCTGACTCTTGAATTGAAGAATATAGTGGAGATGCCCTTTTCATTGTGGTTATTTCACTCTTCAGTCTGCAAAAAGTGTGCTTATATTGGAACAGTTGCATTTTCATTTTTATCTTAAACTGTCAATTGCACATTGCACTGGCACTGTAAAAATGCAAACATTTATATTCTTTTATTTGTAGGGTCCATCAACCGATGTTTTTTATACGAATTTATATGAAGGAGGTCGTAGTTTGATGATAGAAGGAATTGCAGGTACTAAAATTTAATCCCAATTCTAACCTTGGTTTCCCATCAACCAAGATTCTCCCTGTTTTGTTTTAATAACCCCACAAGAATTGCCAATCACCAATTTTCCATACACACATCATGATAGTATATCTTTTTGCTGATAATTTGATAATAGGTGAATTGTGGTAACTTCCCAAAAATATGTAGAACAAAGTAAATATTCCTTTCTTCATGATTTTGAGAATCCTGAAAATTTTGACTTTTAAAAGCAAAGAAAATTGGTATGGAAATCCAAACTTTAAAAGATTCTTTTTATACTTTATTCTTTGCATTCTTGATTGGTTTTGCTTTCCTTTTAACTTTTTTTGGAAGAATTCTTAGTATCTTTTGTTTTCGTCTTTGCCACCCATTGCATCTATTTGTTTTTGCTTTTACTGAATGCAAGACTGAAATTCCATTACACTGTAGTTTTATTATTCATTCACTTCTTTGTTTTTTGTTGTTCGCTGTGTTTCTGGTTGAGCAATAATTGAAAAGAAAATAAAAATGGAGTTTGTTACTGGTTTTAAACGTTGCATGTTTAATCATGAGAGTAAGGTTCAGAATCTGAAGAAGCAACTTGACAAACTGACATATGAAAGAGATAGAACGAAGCATTTCATTGAAGTTGCCATGGAAGAAGGAGAAGAGATTGACCAAGGTGTCAAGAGTTGGGTGACTCATGCAGAGGAGACAATGAAGCAAGCGGGAGAGACCGTGAAGGATCTTGAAGTGGAAGCAAAGAAGAGGTGCTTCATCGGCCAGTGTCCTAATTTCAAGTCTCTTAACCTGCTCCACAAGAGAGGCGATGAGAATATACGCGCTGTTATGGAGCTCATTGAACAAGCAGAATCTCACAAGTTGAACAATAAGAGCAACATTCAGAACTTGGAGAATCAAGCTGAAGCTGCTGATAAGAGCAACGTTCAGAACTTGGAGAATCAAGCTGAAGCTGCTGAGAACAGAAACAGGAAGACGGATGTTGAACAGGACAAGAAAACCAGTGATGAGGTAGGGAAGGTGAATAAAGTCGAAGATAAGGCAGAGAATAGAAGTTTGGTTGGGTTGTATCCTAAACCCAAGTCTCCTTACCGGGTCAGTGGTGTAGCAGAAGATGAGACCAAGGCCATTAGCAAGCAGATGAAACAAAGCAGGTTTGATAAAGGTGTATTTCCTGCTGGGACCCAGGAGACAGAATCTAGGGCTACTCAAGGTTACGAGGCTTTTGAATCAAGAAAAGATACTATGGAGAAAATCTTGAAAGCCTTACAGGATCCTGATCTCAAGACCATTGGTGTATTTGGGATGACCGGTATAGGCAAGACCATGCTTGTGAAAGAGGTTGCTAGGAGAGCCAAGGAAGAAAGCTTATTTGATGAGGTTGCAATGGCAACTGTTTCACGGAATCCAAACATAAAGGAAATTCAAGGAAAGATTGCAGATGCGTTAGGCCTGAAGTTTGATGAGGAGAGTGTGTTTGCAAGAGCAAAGAGGCTGCAGCAGTGGTTGAAGAAAGAAGATAAGAGGGCTCTTATAGTTTTAGATGATCTTTGGCATGGGAAAAGACTGGAATTAGAAGAAGTTGGGATTGATTTTGAAGGTTACCACTACCAGAACATTGCAAGCGAAGAAGATCAAGGACCAGTGGTGCAAAATGTCAGTGAAAATGATTTTCAGAAATTCTCTGCTGGTAGATTCAAAATATTGCTGACTTCCACAACTAAAGAAGTACTCACTGATATGAAAACTGCAAGGATGTTCGAAGTCCAAGTGCTAACTGATAAAGAAGCAACGGATTGGTTTCAAAAAATCGTGGGTGATACTGCAAAGCAACCTGATAACCAACAAATAGCGACCAGAGTGGTGACAAACTGTTCAGGTTTTCCTGTTGCTATTTCAGCAATTGCAATTGCATTGAGAATACGAGCCTTTAGCCATTTGGTGGGCGCTTCGCAAAATGAGAGAAAACCAATTTCAACCAAAGAAGAAAAGCTGAAAAATGTTTACTTGACCATAGATTTGAGCTACAGATTGTTAGAGAAGCTGGAATTGCAGTCGTTTTTCCAACTCTGTGCCTTGCTGCCCCAAGGTTCTGACATTCATGTGTCTGACTTGCTAAGATACAACTTGGGTTTGAAAATAGCAAGAAATGTCAGCACACTGGAAGAAGCAAGGAAAAGTATGAATACACTCAAAGATGCAGGTTTACTACTCAGCAGTGACAATGATGATCTGGTGAAAATGCATGACATTGTTCGTGATGTCGCCATTTGGATTGCATCTGAAGAAAAGCGGATGTTTGTTATAGAGGGTGAAATCCATATGGAAGAACTGCTAAAGCAGGGAAAACTCAAAAATTGCCCTGCTATCTCACTGCCATACTGTAACATTCGCGAGCTTTCGCCCAAGTTGGAATGCCCGAGGCTAAAGTTGCTGCTTTTGTTAAACAAAAACCCCTCTTTAAAAGTCCCCGACACTTTTTTTGAGGAGATGAAAGAACTCTTGGTATTAGATTTGGCTGGTATGAATTTTCCTTCCCTGCCTTTATCATTTACTTGTCTAAGAAGCCTGAAGGATTTAGAGCAGAGGAAGAACAAACAAAGACAGCAGAAACTAATCTGTCACTTGAAGTAAATTGGCTCATTTGATCATGAGCTTCATTTCATTAATTTATAGGCTTGAAAAATACAAAAGTTGTTGGCCTAACAGCATGGGTCACTATGCATAGACCCATCATTTTACCTAAACTAATCTGCTGCCAGAATGTTTCAGCAGAAATGCCATACTAACTTGCTTCAACCACTAATACACTAACATGCTTCAGTACTAGCATGCTTCAACCACTAACACTCCTCTTTGGTATTTCTGCTGGAAACACCAAGACCTTTCCTTAATGTTTCAAACCTTGCCTTTGGTAAGGCTTTGGTCAGAATATCTGCAATCTGATCTTCTGACTGATTTTTTTTTTTTGAAATCGGGGGTCGGGTCGGGGTCGGGTCGGGTTTTAGGCAAACCCGACCCTACCCGACCCGATATATATAAAACTAATTTTTTTAATTAATTTTTTAATTTTTTAATTATATATATTTATATAATGATATTTTTAAATATTTATATTTAAAAAATACTATTTTATTAATTTCGGGTCGAGTCGGATCGGGTACGTTTTATATAGTGTCGGGTCGGGTTCGGGTATGAAAAAACAAAAAAATTTTCGGGTAGGATTGGGTTCGGGTTTTTTAAGCATTAAGTCGGGTCGGGTTCGGGGCGAGCAAAATCCGTCCCGAACCCGACCCGATGCCATCCCTACTTGCAATGCACTAGTTTCACTTCATTCTCAGCTTCAACTTCTCTAATAAAGTGATACTTGATCTTAATATGCTTAGTTCTTCCATGAAACACAGGGTTATTGACCATTGCAACTGCTGACTGATTATCATAAAAAATTTCTGTTGGATCATCTTGCTTTTGACTCAAATCCAATAGAATTTTCCTTGGCCAAATTGCTTGATTAACAGCAGCTGCAGCAACTATATACTCTGCTTCTGCTGTTGATTGAGCCACTGTTCCTTGTTTCTTTGAATTCCAGCTGAACACATTTAATCCAATGAAAAACACATAGCCTGAAATGCTTTTCATGTCTTCATGAGAGCCAGCCCAGTCACTATCTGTGAATCCTACCAATCTTGAACTGTCATTCTTCTTGAACCAAATTCCAAGTTCATTGGTTCCTTTGACATATCTCAACACTCTTTTTGCAGCCTTAAAATGCAACTCACTAGGATTTTGCATGAACCTAGAGAGTAAATTTACAGCATACATGATGTCTGGCCTGGTTGCTGTCAAATACAATAAGCAACCAACCAAGCTTCTATAAATAGAGCCATCAACTTTGTTAGCTCCATCTTCCTTAACAAGTTTCTCATTTTGAGCCAAAGGAGTGTTGACTGGTTTGCAATTTTCCATCCCAAACTTATTCAGGATTTCATTTGCATATTTTCTTTGACAAATGAAGATTCCTTGCTGGTCTTGATGAATCTCCATTCCAAGAAAATAAGACATTTCTCCCATGTCTGTCATTTCAAAAATTTCCTGCATTTGGAGCTTAAAATCTTCCACAAGAGCTGATTTGCTACCTGTCACCAGAAGATCATCAACATACAAAGAAACAATCAATAGATCATTACTGTTAAAAACTTTAATGTACAATGTTGCTTCACTAAGGCTTTTCTTGAATCCTAACTTCAGTAAATGATCATCAATTCTGGAATTCCACACTCTGGGAGCTTGTTTTAATCCATACAAAGCCTTCTTGAGTAGATAGACTTTACCTTTATGTCCCTTGGCAACAAAACCATCAGGTTGTTCAATGTAGATCTCCTCCTCAAGATAACCATTCAAGAAGGCAGATTTGACATCAAGTTGGTATATTTTCCAACTTTGTTGAGTTGCTAAGGCTAATAACAGCCTTATAGTGTCCAACCTTGCAACTGGAGCAAATGTCTCTGAAAAATCAACACCAAGCTGTTGGGAGTAGCCTTTAGCTACCAATCTAGCTTTAAGTTTATTGATGGAACCATCAGCATTCAACTTTGTTCTGAAAATCCATTTGACACTAATGATGTTTTTGTTACTTGGTCTGTCAACCAGCATCCATGTTTGATTTTTCTCAATCATTTGAATCTCCTCCTTCATGGCATTTCTCCACTCTGAAAATTTGACAGCTTCTTCAAAGCTTGCAGGTTCAAGAATGGCAACATTTGATCTTTGATAAATATCTGTGAGTGGTCTGATTCCTCTCACTGGTTCATGATCAATAATTTTATTTTCAAACATATAATCTTCTTGATCTTGGAAGCTTATCATGTCTGCAGCAATTTGCTTGACTGATTCTCCCTTTGATTTTTCCCAATTCCAGGCAGCTTGCTCATTAAATCTCACATTCCTACTTACAATCATCTTGCCTGTAAGTGGATTGTAAGTCCTATAGCCTTTGGTGATGTTGCTATAGCCCAGAAAAATACATATTTTTGCTTTTTGATCAAGCTTGTCCCTTTTGATATCAGGAACGAACACATAACAGATGCTGCCAAAAATTTTGAGGTGGTGCACTGATGGTTTGCTTCCATTCCAGGCTTCAAAAGGAGTGTTTCCCTTCAAAGCTTTTGGGGGCAGCTTGTTGAGCAAGTAGACAGAGGTATTGACTGCCTCTGCCTAGAATTTCTTTGGAAGATTCTTCTCAAACAGCATGCATCTTGCCATCTCCATGATTGTTCTATTCTTCCTTTCACTGACTTCATTTTGTTGTGGAGTGTAAGTTGCTGTCAGTTGGTGTTCAATTCTTGCAACTTCACAAAACTCATTAAATCTGTCAGATGTGTATTCAGTACCATTGTCTGACCTTATGATCTTGATTTTGCAGCCACTTTGATTCTCAATCCAAGCCTTGAACTTCCAAAATACATTTGCAACTTCAAACTTTTGTTTCATGAAGTAAATCCAACACATTCTAGTAAAGTCATCTATAAAAGCAATGAAATATCTACTGCCATTCAAGGACAAGGTTCTCATAGGACCACAAACATCAGTATGAACAAGTTGTAATCTTTCAGTTGCCCTCCATGCTTTGTTAATTGCAAATGGCAACTTACTTTGTTTTCCTAGTTGACAGACTTCACACACTCCAGCATTGACTTCAATAGTAGGCATGTTTAATACAAGATCATTTTTATGCATGAAATTCAATGCATTGTAGTTGAAATGTCCCATCTTTTTATGCCATAAAGAAGATTCATCATGTGAAGTAGCATATGCAGAGGAGTTTGCTTCATGCCAATTCAAGGAAAAACATTTTCCTTTCATATTAACAGTAAAGAGTTCATGGTCAGTGGGATCATGAATTATGCATGCCTTGTCTTTGAAGACTAAAGAGTAGTTATTTTCTAGCAACTGTCCTACACTTAACAGGTTTTGATCTATTTTGGGCACAAATAACACATCTGAAATGAGTGTGGTACCTGTTGGTGTCTCAACTGCCACTACTCTTTTTCCTTTGACTTCTATGAAATCACCATTACCTATTCTGACTTTAGAGGTGCAGGTCTTGTCTAGTTCTTTGAATATGTTGATATCAGATGCCATATGGTGTGTGCAACCACTGTCAATGAGCCATGCACTGGAGGAGGTTCTGGTTCCATAGCAAGTTGCAACAAAAACTTGCTCTTCTAGCTGTTGTTGATTGTCAGCAACTCTGGCTTGTTGATCTGGTTGCTGCTGTTTTTTGCTTTTACATACCTTCTCCATGTGACCAAGCTGCTTACAGTACCTACATTGTATGTTAGGTCTGTACCAGCAATATTTTTCCAAGTGAGTAGTCTTTTTGCAGTGAGAGCATGGTGGAAATTTTCTTTTCTTTTCACTGTTTCTAGAACCTTGGTTTCTTTGGTCTCCTTGTTTTCTGCCTTTGCTTTCTGTTTGCATCTTGCCTTTCTCCTTGGCTGTAAAAGCACCTTCTGTTGAATTCTCTTGTCTGATAGCCCTTCTTTGCTCTTGAGCTTGTAGATGTTAGTGGTTGAAGCATGCTAGTACTGAAGCATGTTAGTGTGTTAGTGGTTGAAGCAAGTTAGTATGGCATTTCTGCTGAAACTTTCTGGCAGCAGATTAGTTTAGGTAAAATGATGGGTCTGTGCATGGTGACCCATGCTGTTAGGCCAACAACTTTTGTATTTTTCAAGCCTATAAATTAATGAAATGAAGCTCATGATCAAATGAGCCAATTTACTTTAAGTGACAGATCAGTTTCTGTTGTCTTTGTTTGTTCTTCCTCTGCTCTAAATCCTTCAATTGGTATCAGAGCATTCTTTAAGTTCTTAGAGGATCTGTGAGTTCCAAAAATTGAGTGAAAAGCCATCAAACACTTTCCAGCCAGCCTTTGTCAACCTTAAATGGCCTCAAGCAATTGCTCCTTACCTCCACCTCTTATTTTTTCTAGTGAGAACTACCAGATATGGGCTGTCAAAATGAAGACTTATTTGAGTGCTTTTGATTTGTGGGAAGTGGTGAAAAATGAGAAGGAACTACCACAACTTCCTGCAAATCTAACAGTAACTCAAATGAAAAATTATAGTGAAGAAAAGGTAAAGAGGTATAAGGCTAAAAGCTGTAATGAGTCTTCAGTTTCTGATGACATATTCATTAGAATCATGACTTGTGAAATTACAAAACAAGCTTGGGATGTGCTCAAGGAAGAGTTTCAAGGCAGTGACAAGACAAGCCAAATGCAAGTGTTGAATCTTAGAAGAGAGTTTGAAGTCTTAAAGATGAAGGAGTCTGAAAATTTAAAGGAGTACAATGACAGACTCATGAAGATAGTAAATAAGATTAGATTACTTGGTGAGGAGCTGTCAGACAAAAGAATTGTAGAGAAAGTTCTTGTCAGCTTACCAGAGAGGTTTGAGTCAAAAATCTCATCCCTTGAAGACTCTAAAGACCTGACCAAGATAACTCCAGCAGAATTGTTCAATGCTCTACAAGCTCAAGAGCAAAGAAGGGCTATCAGACAAGAGAATTCAACAGAAGGTGTTTTTATAGCCAAGGAGAAAGGCAAGATGCAAACAGAAAGCAAAGGCAGAAAACAAGGAGACCAAAGAAACCAAGGTTCTAGAAATAGTGAAAAGAAAGAAAAATTTCCACCATGCTCTCACTGTAAAAAGACTACTCACTTGGAGAAATATTGCTGGTACAGATCTAACATACAATGTAGGTACTGTAAGCAGCTTGGTCACATGGAGAAGGTATGTAAAAGCAAAAAACAGCAGCAGCCAGATCAACAAGCCAGAGTTGCTGACAATCAACAACAGCTAGAAGAGCAAGTTTTTGTTGCAACTTGCTATGGAACCAGAACCTCCTCCAGTGCATGGCTCATTGACAGTGGTTGCACACACCATATGGCATCTGATATCAACATATTCAAAGAACTAGACAAGACTTGCACCTCTAAAGTCAGAATAGGTAATGGTGATTTCATAGAAGTCAAAGGAAAAAGAGTAGTGGCAGTTGAGACACCAACAGGTACCACACTCATTTCAGATGTGTTATTTGTGCCCAAAATAGATCAAAACCTGTTAAGTGTAGGACAGTTGCTAGAAAATAACTACTCTTTAGTCTTCAAAGATAAGGCATGCATAATTCATGATCCCACTGGCCATGAACTCTTTACTGTTAATATGAAAAGAAAATGTTTTTCCTTGAATTGGCATGAAGTAAACTCCTCTGCATATGCTACTTCACATGATGAATCTTCTTTATGGCATAAAAGGATGGGACATTTCAACTACAATGCATTGAATTTCATGTATAAAAATGATCTTATATTAAACATGCCTACTGTTGAAGTCAGTGCTGGAGTGTGTGAAGTCTGTCAACTAGGAAAACAAAGTAAGTTGCCATTTACAATTAACAAAGCATGGAGGGCAACTGAAAGATTACAACTTGTTCATACTGATGTTTGTGGTCCTATGAGAACCTTGTCCTTGAATGGCAGTAGATATTTCATTGCTTTTATAGATGACTTTACTAGAATGTGTTGGATTTACTTCATGAAACAAAAGTCTAAAGTTGCAAATGTATTTTGGAAGTTCAAGGCTTGGATTGAGAATCAAAGTGGCTGCAAAATCAAGATCATAAGGTCAGACAATGGTACTGAATACACATCTGACAGATTTAATAAGTTTTGTGAAGTTGCAGGAATTGAACACCAACTGACAGCAACTTACACTCTACAACAAAATGGAGTCAGTGAAAGGAAGAATAGAACAATCATGGAGATGGTAAGATGCATGCTGTTTGAGAAGAATCTTCCAAAGAAATTCTAGGCAGAGGCAGTCAATACCTCTGTCTACTTGCTCAACAGGCTGCCCACAAAAGCTTTGAAGGAAAACACTCCTTTTGAAGCCTGGAATGGAAGCAAACCATCAGTGCACCACCTCAAAATTTTTGGCAGCATCTGTTATGTGTTCGTTCCTGATATCAAAAGGGACAAGCTTGATCAAAAAGTAGAAATATGTATTTTTCTGGGCTATAGCAACATCACCAAAGGCTATAGGACTTACAATCCACTTACAGGCAAGATGATTGTAAGTAGGAATGTGAGATTTAATGAGCAAGTTGCCTGAAATTGGGAAAAATCAAAGGGAGAATCAGTCAAGCAAATTGCTGCAGACATGATAAGCTTCCAAGATCAAGAAGATTATATGTTTGAAAATGAAATTATTGATCATGAACCAGTGAGAGGAATCAGACCACTCACAGATATTTATCAAAGATCAAATGTTGCCATTCTTGAACCTGCAAGCTTTGAAGAAGCTGTCAAATTTTCAGAGTGGAGAAATGCCATGAAAGAGGAGATTCAAATGATTGAGAAAAATCAAACATGGATGCTGGTTGACAGACCAAGTAACAAAAACATCATTGGTGTCAAATGGATTTTCAGAACAAAGTTGAATGCTGATGGTTCCATCAATAAACTTAAAGCTAGATTGGTAGCTAAAGGCTACTCCCAACAGCTTGGTGTTGATTTTTCAGAGACATTTGCTCCAGTTGCAAGGTTGGACACTATAAGGCTGTTATTAGCCTTAACAACTCAACAAAGTTGGAAAATATACCAACTTGATGTCAAATCTGCCTTCTTGAATAGTTATCTTGAGGAGGAGATCTACATTGAACAACCTGATGGTTTTGTTGCCAAGGGACATGAAGGCAAAGTCTATCTACTCAAGAAGGCTTTGTATGGATTAAAACAAGCTCCCAGAGTGTGGAATTCCAGAATTGATGATCATTTACTGAAGTTAGGATTCAAGAAAAGCATCAGTGAAGCAACATTGTACATTAAAGTTTTTAACAGTAATGATCTATTGATTGTTTCTTTGTATGTTGATGATCTTCTGGTGACAGGTAGCAAATCAGCTCTTGTGAAAGATTTTAAGCTCCAAATGCAGGAAATTTTTGAGATGACAGACATGGGAGAAATGTCTTATTTTCTTGGAATGGAGATTCATCAAGACCAGCAAGGAATCTTCATTTGTCAAAGAAAATATGCAAATGAAATCTGAATAAGTTTAGGATGGAAAATTGCAAACCAGTCAACACTCCTTTGGCTCAAAATGAGAAAGTTGTTAAGGAAGATGGAGCTAACAAAGTTGATGGCTCTATTTATAGAAGCTTGGTTGGTTGCTTATTGTATTTGACAGCAACCAGGCCAGACATCATGTATGCTGCAAATTTACTCTCTAGGTTCATGCAAAATCCTAGTGAGTTGTATTTAAGGCTGCAAAAAGAGTGCTTGAAATATGTCAAACCAATGAACTTGGATTTCTGTAAGAAAATTCACAGATTCTTGTAGATTCACAGACATGACTGGGCTGCTCTCATGAGACTGAAGCACTTCAGCTATGGTTTTTATGGATTAATGTGTTCAGCTAGATTTAAAGAAACAAGAAACAGTGGCTCAATCAACAGCAAGAAGCAGAGTATATAGCTGCTGCAGCTGGCTGTTAATCAAAGCAATTTGGCTAAGGAAAATTTGTTGGATTTGAGTCAAAAGCAAGATGATCCAATAGAAATTTTTTATGATAATCAGTCAGCAGTTGCAATGGTCAAGAACCCTGTGTTTCATGGAAGAACTAAGCATATTAAGATCAAGTATCACTTTATTAGAGAAGTTGAAGCTGAGAATGAAGTGAAACTAGTGCATTGCAAGTCAGAAGATCAGATTGCAGATATTCTGACCAAAGCCTTACCAAAGGCAAGGTTTGAAACATTAAGGAAAGGTCTTGGTGTTTCCAGCAGAAATACCAAGGAGGAGTGTTAGTGGTTGAAGCATGCTAGTACTGAAGCATGTTAGTGTGTTAGTGGTTGAAGCAAGTTAGTATGGCATTTCTGCTGAAACTTTCTGGCAGCAGATTAGTTTAGGTAAAATGATGGGTCTGTGCATGGTGACCCATGCTGTTAGGCCAACAACTTTTGTATTTTTCAAGCCTATAAATTAATGAAATGAAGCTCATGATCAAATGAGCCAATTTACTTCAAGTGACAGATCAGTTTCTGCTGTCTTTGTTTGTTCTTCCTCTGCTCTAAATCCTTCAGTAGAGCATTGAACAATTCTGCTGGAGTTATCTTGGTCAGGTCCTTAGAGTCTTCAAGGGATGAGATTTTTGACTCAAACCTCTCTGGTAAGCTGACAAGAACTTTCTCTACAATTCTTTTGTCTGACAGCTCCTCACCAAGTAATCTAATCTTGTTTACTATCTTCATGAGTCTGTCATTGTACTCCTTTAAATTTTCAGACTCCTTCATCTTTAAGATTTCAAACTCTCTTCTAAGATTCAACACTTGCATTTGTCTTGTCTTGTCACTGCCTTGAAACTCTTCCTTGAGCACATCCCAGGCTTGTTTTGCAGTTTCACAAGTCATGATTCTAATGAATATGTCATCAGAAACTGAAAACTCATTACAGCTTTTAGCCTTATACCTCTTTGCCTTTTCTTCACTATAATTTTTCATTTGAGTTACTGTTAGATTTGCAGGAAGTTGTGGTGGTTCCTTCTCATTTTCCACCACTTCCCACAAATCAAAAGCACTCAAATAAGTCTTCATTTTGACAGCACATATCTGGTAGTTCTCACTAGAAAGGTGGAGGTAAGGAGCAATTGCTTGAGGCCATTTAAGGTTGACAAAGGCTGGCTAGAAAGTGTTTGATGGCTTTTCACTCAATTTTTGGAACTCACAGATCCTCTAAGAACTTAAAGAATGCTCTGATACCAATTGAAGGATTTAGAGCAGAGGAAGAACAAACAAAGACAGCAGAAACTAATCTGTCACTTGAAGTAAATTGGCTCATTTGATCATGAGCTTCATTTCATTAATTTATAGGCTTGAAAAATACAAAAGTTGTTGGCCTAACAGCATGGGTCACCATGCACAGACCCATCAAAGCCTTCAAATGCTGTCTTTGGATGACTGTAAGTTGAATGACATTGCCATTATTGGGGACCTGAAGGAATTGAATACCCTTAGAATTCACAATTCTGATATTCAACGATTGCCCCAGGAAATAGGGAGACTAAACCTGCTTAGGTCGTTAGACTTGAGCAATTGTTCCAAGCTCAAAGTCATTCCAGCAAACATCATATCAGGCTTGTTTAATTTGGAAGAACTGTTTATGCGCAACAGCTTTGACCAATGGGGTGTTGAAGGTAATGTTAAGCTTAGTGAATTGAATCCTTTGACTCGTCTAACTGCTTTGGATGTGCATATTCGTTCTGCTCATGACATGCCAGCAGAATTATTCTCCAAACAATTGGACAGATACAAGATTCTAATTGGGGAGGTCTGGGACTGGAATGGAAAGTATGATAAGGAGAGGATTCTGAAACTCAAGCTTACAAAGGGAGTTCGCTTGGATAGTGGAGTTAAACTGTTGTTGCAGAAAACTGAAGACCTATATCTAGATGAATTGAAAGGCATCAAGAATTTGCTATATGAGTTGGATGACACTGGTTTTCCACAACTCAAGAATCTCCATATACAAAATGGTTCAGAAATTCAGTTCATTATTAACTCTATAGCGATGCCTTCTCGTAACATCTTTCCTATCTTGGAGTCATTGTCTCTTCAAAATCTGATTAATTTGGAGAAGATATGTCAAGGCGAACTTGAAGAAATATCTTTCAAGAGATTGAAAATCATAAGCATCAAAAGTTGTGATAGACTGAAGAATTTGTTTCCATTCTCCATGATCAAAATGCTTCTCCAACTTCAAGAAATTAAAGTTACAAACTGCAAAAGCATTGAAGAGATTGCTGTTCAAAAGAGAGAGAAAGGTGCTATTGTTGTTGAAAAGAGAGAGAAAAGTGCTAGTATAGCAACGAATAAAACAGAGTTTCTCCAATTGCGATCCTTAACACTGCAACTTCTACCAGAGCTTAGTAGTTTCTGTTCCAAAGAGAAGAGTCTTTCCATTTATCAACAGGAGCCGGTGAATACAAGGCCTTGGCTACTTTTCAATGAAAAGGTACTACTCCAACTATACTTTTTTATGTTCATTCAATGATAGAAGCTTACTTTAAGAGACTTATATGAAAGATTAAATTTTATTGAAATGATCTTTATGCCTATAGATTGCGTTTCCTGTCCTTGAGAATCTGCGGTTGTCCTCGATCAACATTGAAAGGATATGGCAGAAAACATCTCATTGCAGTCGCAATTTGACAAGTTTGGTCATTGAGGGTTGTGATAACCTTAAACATCTGTTGTCACCATCTATCGCTAGAAGTCTATTGCAACTCACAAGCTTTGAGATAATTGACTGCAAGTGCATAAGAGAGATAATAGTTCCAGAAGAAGAGGAAGAAGAAGAAAAAAAGAAAGCCAAGAGTTTCTTCCCTCAACTAAATTCCCTTAAAATGAAAAATCTTGGGAACTTAGTTGGATTCTGCTCAGAGAAGTATTTTCTTCAGCTCCCTTCCTTGAAGCTTTTGGAGATAGAGAATTGCCCTCAATTGAAGGAATTCATGAACAAATCTATGCGCACAGACGTCACAACTGTCAATGAAACTGTAGAAATAAACATAGAGAGGGATTATCATTTTGGTCCACAAGCTCTCTTTAACGCAAAGGTGAACTATTCTCCATTTTCTTCAATCCATGATTTTTAACTTGCTTTATAACATCAATTGTAGGACTTACTCTTTTAATCTTTTTACTCATTTGCTTGACATTATACAGGTTGCATTTCCTAACTTGGAGAAATTGAAAATCTGCCACTTGAAAACTGTAAAGATGATATGTCACAACCCACACCCTACAGATTCTTTTAGCAAATTAAAAGAAATGAAGGTTGGATATTGCAATGAGTTATTCACTATTTTTCCATCAAATATGGTGGGGGCATTCCAGAGGTTGGAAACACTGATAGTTATCAGTTGTGATTCACTACAACATATTTTTGAAATCAAGGTATCAGATATCAAAGATATACATCCTCAAGCCACACAGCTAAGAGAATTGTATATTTTTCATCTTCCAAAACTGAAGCATGTCTGGAATGTGGATCCCCAAGGCATTCTTACCTTTCCAAGTATACGTGCAGTATATGTTCGGGATTGTTGGAGTCTAAAAACTCTTTTTCCAGCATCAGTTGCAAAAGGTCTTCAAGAACTGGAAGATCTTACAATTGATTGTTGTGGATTGGAAGAGATTGTTTCAGTGGAGGAAGGACTGAAACAAGCTGTAAATAAATTTGTCTTTCCTCAAGTCTGCTCTCTTACCATGAGGAACCTGCCCGAACTTAAATGGTTTTACCCAGCCGTGCATGAAATAGAATGGCCAAAGTTAAAAAAGTTGAAGACTTATCATTGTGGCCATGAAAAGTTACTTGGGATAGAAGAACATAATCCTTAATGCAAAAGCCGCTTGTCTTGTTTGAAAAGGTATGAATCTCCAATATTACTTTAAAGGTGCCTAAGTTTTGTTGGCAAACTTGAATAGAATGGCAGTAGACAGATTAATATCTAGTTGTAAATTTTTTTGCACTTTTTTTTTCTAAATTATTATATGAATTGACAACTAAATGAGGATTTTAATTTTGATTTTGAACAAGCGATGCATGTCTTAAATATTCATGTGAAAGCCTTGACCAGTAAAACTTTTGTATAACAATATTTTCTTTAGTTTCTACTGTTAAAAGTCCTTCTAGCAGCACCTTTTCAAGTTTCAACTGAACTTTCATGGATTTTATTTGTAACATTAATACTTTAGCAGCATTTTGAATAAAACTAGCGTTAAACTGATTTGCATAGAGTGACAAAGACAACAGTTAGATAATAATTAGTACTAGTACACTAATAGTTTTGATTCTTTCGCTATAGTAGGTGGATGACAATGTTATGTTAACAGGCTACTAATTCTGTGAAAAGTTCTCAATTCTTTCATTCCTCAACACATCACTTGTCATTTTCCTCTGCTTCCTCAACAGTGTTGAGGAAACTTCCAACGTGTTTAATTATATTGAATCATTAGCTCTTTGTTTAATTCCATTTATGGTGGTAAGGAGCAGAGTTATGCAGAGGCAAAAGAGAAGAAGAGGATTCAGGGAAAAAATGGAAAAGGAAAGCAAAGAAAAAAAAAAAAAAAGAAATAGATCTCTTTTGATTGAGTGATGATAATATGGCAACTCTATAACTGTAGAGTTGACTACCAGTAAAGAAAGTTTTCTATTTTTTTACCAAAATAAAATGTCATATTGAGGTAAAAAGAAACTAACTCCAACTTGTTTCTATTTGATGGATTCCTAGGTCATCCAAAATCTGGAGGAATTGTCATTAAACAGCAAGGACATTTCAATAATATGCAATCATCAGTTTCCAGCAGACCTCTTCAGCCAAATAAAAGTTCTCCAAGTGCTTTGCTACCATGACAAATCAGCTGTTTTTCCATTTTGGTTTCTCAAAGAATTCAGCAATCTGGAGAAGCTTGAGGTGATTTGTTGTGAATTCAAAGAGCTCTTCAGTAATGAAGGAGATGCCAGTGAAAAGAAACCGCCAAGGATACTTGAACAAATTAGAAAATTAAAACTGGTTAGTCTTCCTAATCCAAGACATATATGGGGGAAAAACTCACAACTAGATCATGTTGTCCCAAATCTGGAAACTCTTGAAGTTTGGAGATGTGATGGTTTTAGGGTCATCCTCAGCATCCTTTCAAAATCTCACTAATTTGGACGTGTGGCAGTGCAAAGAGATTGTAACCTTAATTACATCCTCAGCAGCCCGAAATCTGTTGCAACTAATAAAAATGAGGATTAGAGAATGCATTATGGTGACAAAAATAGTTGAAGAAGAGCAATATGATGAAAAAGATAAGATAAGTTTTACCAGGTTGAAATGTTTGGAACTTCATTATGTACCAAACCTCACAAGCTTCTGTTCAGGGAAATACGCCTTTGAGTTTCCATCTTTGGAACAAATTATTGTGAGACAATGTCCCCAATTGAAGATCTTTTGTCAGGGTCCTCAGGGAGTCCTAAGCACTCCACTGTTACATAGAGTACAACGAGCAGAAGAGGATTATGAGGGGTTTTGGTTTGGTAACCTCAATGCTAGCATATCTCAGTTTCACAAAAACACGGTACTCACTGATTTATAAACTTTCTTTAGCTCAAACTCTATTCTCTCTTTTTTGTTAAAGAAAGCATCAGTTAGTCCTTTCTTTTTCAATGGCATTTGTTCTTCTAGTATAACTATTGCAATAATATTTGGGTTTAATAGGTACGATACTATGAGCCAGAATATTTGAAACTTCATGAGTTTCTTGAGTTGGAGGAAATTTGGAATAAAGTTCCTCAAGGACTTATGGACTTTAAAAGGCTCAAATTTCTGGAAGTCTGTAACTGTAACAACGTGAGATACATATTTACCGCTTCCATTGCTGTGGGCCTTGTGGAACTGCAGCACATAAAAGTAGAAGATTGCAAAGTAATTGAAGAAATTATCAGAGATGTTACGGCAGCCACAGAGAAGATCATATTCCCTCAGCTTAACTCAATAACTCTCAAATCTTGTTTGGGCTTGGCATGTTTTTATTTGGGAAATTGTGCATTGGAATGTCCAAACTTGAAAGAAATTACATTAGTTGACTGTCCAGAGATGGTTGCATTTGCATCTACTGTTTCAAAAGAGCTGGACATAGAGATCACTGATGGAGGAAATCCGAAGATGCTTGGGAAGGGCATATCTGATGTCCCTGTTAAACCCTTTTTCAGTGATAAGGTCAGGCTCTTTTGTTTTGTGAAGATAACTTTTTCACATTTTAAAAGATTTTCTTTTTAAGGTGTCACTTCAAAATGAAAATACTTAGTAAGTGCATCCCTGTTGTCTCTGCTGTGCCCTTTTCAGTGATAATTTTCCTAGGCTTAAAAGATTTTAAAACATAATTCCTCTTCTTCAATAAAACTCTAAAGGCTTTCTCTCCATTGTTCTTTCATTTTTATCACATACTTAACCATGGTCTGTTATTAACATAATCAAAGGAATTTTGTAGGTGTCATTACCTGTGTTAAAAGATTTGACAATCATAGACATGGGGAACTTGGAAAGGTTATGGGATGACCAACTTGAGATGAAGTCCTTCTTCAAATTAAAGCACTTTAAAGTGCATAGTTGTGTGAAACTATCGAACATTTTTCCACTTGCTATGCTGGGAAGACTTCAGACCCTAAAAAATCTGGAAATAGTGGAGTGTGCTTTGCTAGAAGAAATATTTGAACCTGAATTCGCTGAGGCAGAAAAAAACACTAAGTTTGTATTTCCTCAAGTGACATACCTGAACCTTTCTATGCTACCAAAACTGAAGAGTTTCTACTCTTGTGGGCACACTACAGAATGGCCATCATTGAGAAAAATGGATGTTTGTGGATGTGACAAAGTGGAGATATTTGCTTTGGAATGCCCGAGCTCCCAAGAAAAACAAGAACAAAGCCAGCTTGTACCTATTCAGCAACCCTTATTTTGGATAAACAAGGTATGCAAAACATGTCCACAGGATGCATTAAATTTGCATTTCCTATTCTAATGAAGCATATAGTAAATCCAGATGAATGTCTTCTATTTTTATTATAAATCCACGTTCATCTACTCTCTTTTCTGTTTAGCAAGCTAGCTTATCCTGATCTGACTTGAATTAAATGTTCACTAACTAAAAAGAAAAAAAAAAGACGGTGGGGGGTATGAAAAATAGTATTAGTATTATGTGACATTGAGAGTTTCAGGAAAATTCATCCAATGCAAATGTGTCTGGATATGTAATAGGTAGTAGCCATAATTCTACATTCTTTATGTAATTCATCATTGCTTTTGTTTAACACATTTATCAATTGCCCAGGTCACGTTCCCCTGTTTAGAAGAACTGAGATTGGAGTGCAATGGCATCATGAAAGAGATATGGCATGGACAACTTCCAGAAGGGTATTTAAAACTAAAAGTTCTTGAGCTCATAAATTTTCCTGCACAAGTGACTGTTCTTCCATCTTATTTCTTTCAGTCACTATCAAATCTTGAAAATTTTGTTGTGAATGGTGCTTCCTTTAATGAAATATTCCAATGTGAGGAATTCAGTGGTGGAGAAAAACAGGAAAGGGCACTTGCTCAGTTAAGCAGATTGAGGTTATCTAACCTCAATGAACTGACACATCTTTGGAAGGAGAATTTTAAACCTGGAGAAAATTTTTGTAACATGAGAGCTCTAGAAGTGCACGATTGTGGTAAATTAAAGATTTTAGTGCCATCCTCAGTGTCTTTCAAGAATTTGACAACTCTGGAGGTGTCAAGATGTCAGGGACTTAAACATTTAATTGCACACTCCACAGCTAAAAGCCTGAAGCAGCTTACTAGAATGAGTATAACAAATTGCAAAATGATAGAAGAAATTATAGCAGGCTCAGGTGATGAAGTGAAGGAAGGCATTGTTTTCAATCAGCTGAAGTGTTTGGGGCTTAGTTGTCTGCCAAACTTAGCAAGCTTTTGCTCAGGGAACTACACCCTTGAGTTCCCTTCATTGGAAACTGTAACTTTGAGACACTGCCCAAAGATGAAAAGTTTGCCTCGGGAAAGGTTAAGCACACCAAAACTAAGACGTGTGTATTCAAATGAAGGTGGGGATGAAAAGCATTGGGAAGGCGACTTGAACACTAGTATACAACTTTTGTTCATGGAAACGGTATGCATTACTTCCAAAAGATTTATCATCGACTTTTTTCTTTTTCTAGTTTTTCCTTTCTTATTTGCTTTCCCTAGTCATTTTAAACAAGCCATCTTAGTACTTGAAAGGTTTCTCAGGTATGTGGCTTCCATACCACGCTGCATGCAACAATACCATCATTGGAAAACCTATAACAGCAAGATATGTTTTATCTTAATGGCATTTTTTCTGTATCATAATATGTTGAATTTTGTAGGTTGAATACCGTGCAATTGAGTATTTGGTACTCTCTGATTCTTCCAAGTTGATGGAAATAAGGAACTGGAATGCACAAGAAATTTTGGACTTCAAAAACCTTAAATTTCTCAAAGTTTATAGTTGTAGAAACTTGAAATATACATTTAACCCTTCCATGGCCATGGACCTTGTGCATCTTGAAAAACTGGAGATTCATGATTGCGAGATGTTGGAAGAGGTAATAATCACACACGGATTAGCAAAGAAAGATAGGATGAGCAAGAAAATGTTCCCTAAACTGGTCTCCTTACTGTTTATTGCCCTTCCCAATCTCAAAAGATTTTGCTCAGGAAATTACTTTGAATTCCCCTCCTTGAAAGAACTTTGGGTACAGAGCTGCCCTATGTTGAATACGTTAATTTCTAGTTCAGTAACTAGAAACAACTCAGAGCAGAACCTACATACTGACTTGACAGCTCTGTTTGATGAAAAGGTGATTACAAGTCCTTTGCTATACCTCTAGTTTGTCCATGCCTCTTCATATTTTCTTTTGATACTCCCTTCAATGCCCTTTTTCTTTTTTTTCTTTTTTTTTTCTGCTTTTACATTTTATGTCTTCTACATGAAACTCTAATTTGATTTTTACTGTAGAAACTCTTATCCACATGGCTTAGTCCATTTATGTTAAGTTATTGATACAATCTCTTGATTCGGCAGGTGACATTCCCCTCTTTGGAGAAATTAGGAGTCATGGACATGGGAAACCTGAGAAAGATTTGTAATGACCAAATTTCTAAGGATTCATTCTCCAAATTAAAAGTTCTGAAGGTCATAGGCTTGCCTAAGATATCAGCTATCATTCCATCTTGTTTCTTTCTCTCATTGTCCAAGCTTGAAAGGCTTGTTGTGGATGATGCTTCCTTTACAGAAATATTTCAACTTGAAGGAGTCGGAGGAAAAACGCAGGCATGGGAACTTTCTGATTTTAGTGATTTACGGTTGTCCAAACTTCCTGAGTTGACACATCTGTGGAAGGAAGAGTTTCAGTCTCAACCTGGAATACTTTTCCATAACCTGAGAACTCTAAAAGTATTGGAATGTCCCAAGTTGAAGAGTTTAGTGTCATCCGCAATGAGTTTTGAAAATCTAACTACTCTAGAAATATCAAGATGTCATGGATTTATAAATCTAATAGCGCCCTCTACCGCTAAAAGCATGATGCAACTCAAAATAATGAGGATTACTGATTGCAAAATGATAGAAGAAATCATCGCAAATGTGGGTGATGGAGGGAGTGACGGCATCATTTTCAAGCAACTAGAATGTCTCAGACTGCAAAGCTTACCACAGCTTACAAGTTTCTGCTCAGGATACTACTATCGCTTTGAGTTCCCATCTTTGGTTGAATTTGTTGCAATTGAATGCCCAAATTTAAGTGTTTTTTGTAAAGGAGAAGTAAGCACACCATTGCTACAAAGTGTACGTCTAAAAGGAGAAGAAGGTAGACCTTTGAAAAATCATGACCTTAATAACACCATAAGAGGATCATACAGCGAAAAGGTACGTTGATTTGACAAATATTCTCAATGACTTCTGTTCTTTAGGTTTAGACATCCTAAGCATATGAGTTCTCTTAGTTTCCAGAGTTGATGGACCCATGGGTATAGGAGCACTCAAGGAATGTTCAAGACTTGGTTCTTTAATATCCTTAAGTTTATAGTTGTAATTCTAGCAGCTTTAGATATCCTTTAATCACTTACATTGTGCAACTCCAAGCTATGGAACTAAAGACATGAGAAAATTTCTGTTAATAACATATTCCAAACAAAGTCACACCAAACATTAAAACGCAAAAAGCATCATTTCATTTTCTTCCTCAAGTCCTTTCCTTCTCAAATGCTTGTCTACAGTATACTTTTGACCTTTCCCTGTCTCACTCTCTTTCTCTCTGTTACTCAGACTCCGAATTACGTCAAAGAGTTGGAATTTCTAGAGTTGGAATTTCCCGAATGGACATCATCGGATCTCTGGAGACCTTCAGTTCAGTGAAGATCAAATGAATTGCACCTTCAAATTTGGTGTGGAAGGGTATAATCTTATCCAGTCTTGGGCACTTTCTTTTTCTACTTTCCTTAGTTCTGTTTCCTCTATTGAATGGATCAAATTAAGAAATAAAACTGGATTTATGTTATTTGAAATCTAATTTCTCTACTTTATCATTTCCTTTGAATCTGAAATTGTCAAGGTTTATGTAACTATGAAATGAATCCAATCTTGTATGCCCGAGCATTTGGCTCAATATATAGTATGTGTGTATGTATCTTCTTATTCAAAGAGTTGTGTTCATTCCCTAAGTCAAGAAATGAGTCCAATCTTATAAACTTGAGGGTATTTCTTTTCCCTTTTGGACTGAAGCAAACTGAAATAAGTTCGACTTGCCTCATTTGCCTATTCAAGTACTATTATTTACCCCTTAGTCCAAAAATTATTTGTGGGCAAAATGAATGCTACTGCCAAGATGGCTGAGAAATTGTCATTCCAAAACACTAGTAAAGCGTGAATGGTCAACGGTATGCTTCTGTCTTGCAAATATCTTCTTAGAAGTGTATATATTTTAACATGCTTTTGCCAAATACTATGAATTAATCAAACGAGCTCATATCAAATGTCACCTTCTTGTTATGAAATACATTTCCTCACTATTTGTTTTTTGTTTTAATGGAGATTTTCATCTGAAGGCAAGAGTAGAAGCTATGTCACAGAAGGACATGAAAATTCATTGGTTCTTAATCTCAATAGACAAAAAAAAATGTTATTCCATGCCAGATTAGTCGAAAATAAATTCACTTAATAAAAGCCATATCCATGAAGAATAGATTTATTTTTGTAAAGGGGTGGTGACACAAATCTTTTGATAGAGAAGAACAATAGAATTAGTCGAAAATAATCTCAGTTTTACAATGGGGAAGAATTAAGAAAAGCCATTACATACAGGAAGATGCCATGATATTGTATCAGCCGGAACTTGGAAGGCTGTGTTGCGACCTGGACCGCTGTTTCTCCTTCAATATTTATTATTCCTAAAAAAAAGAAAGGAAAGAGATATGGAGAAGCATTGAAAAATGGAGATTAAGAATTAAAAAGCTGTAACATGTGGACAATGGAGAGGAACTCACTCATGAAGAAGAAAAGTAGTTTTTCATGATTGCTACATTGCTATCCATGGTTTTTTCCACATCTGCTACAAATTCTTCTTTCATATTTGTGAGGGTCAATTCCTTCAAGGTCGATAGCTTTTCCAATCCAACAGGCATTTTAAGACTTTTGCAACATCTGATCTCTACTTCTCTTAACATTGGCATTGCTCCATCCTCCACAATCCAGCAGTTCAGTTTATATAGCATCCACAATTTCAAGATCCTGAGTTGAGGAAATCCACCACGATTACAAGTCATTTTTTGCCCCGAGTAGGATTGAGCATAAAGCCTCAGGACCTTCAGCTGCTTCAGCTTCCCAAGCTCACACATTGGATCTTTTGACAGTCGTGTCATTGACAGTGTAAGAATTTCAAGATTTTCAGGAAGATCAGTAGTAACAATTTGATTTGGAAGTTTTCCAAGCAAATACAGCTGCGATAAGCTTGTCTGCTTCCATTTCCGCATGTCCTCTCCTCTAAGGTCTAAAGGTTGATTAAATTTATCTATTAATCTCAAATTCAAGGACTGAAGCTTGTCCATTCGAGAGATCCAGTGAGCTATGACTTCAATTGATGCTTCATTGCATGTTAATTTCAATTTTCTGAGACCAACAAAACTTTCAATCCATTTCCTGTGCGGACTCTCTTCTTTGATCACCAACCCCCACAAAATCTTAAGATTGTTCAATGAACCACTAGCTGATGGCTTTAGAGTAGACAAAAATATCACTCATATACAAATGCTGAAGCTTCTTTGCCTTCCAGATGGTACTAGGCAACTTGGTTATGAAAGTGTGCTTTATGTCTAAAGTTTCCAGGTAAGAAAGTTCACCAACGGATTGTGGGACGTCATCCAAAAGTGTTCGCCTCAAGCCCACGTACCTTAGATATGGTAGTTTGCCTAGTGTATCAGAAAGCACTGGTTTGTAAACTCCTTCTAGATCAAGCACTACAAGCATTCCAAAGCCTTTATCAACAACCTTGCTAAGAAGTTCCTTTACTACATATGTAGGTGCATCTCCTCTTTTCCCAGAGAAAGAAATATAAGAACGAAGTCTTCGAACACGGTTTTCTATGTGTTTGGACTGGAGCAACATATCTAAGTTTTCTGAAAGCCTTCGTATGTTAAACCATGTTGATCCCGATGTACCTGAACTTTCGGAGATGTGAAAAAACCCAACTTTCTCCGTATCTAGAAACATGGTGTCATATATGGTATTTAGCACACGGCATGCCTTGGGGCTTCCATCTAACTTTAGCTTTGTGACCTCAATCATGTTTCTGCTTTGGAGTTCTTTAAAATATTCTTCCACTACCTTTTCAAGAGTTTTCACCTTATCTGTTGGTACCACAAACCCCTCAGCAAGCCATAGTTGATACAGCCTCCTAAGAGGAATCTCATATGACTTGGGAAAAAGACCCAAATAAAGAAAACAGCATTTCAATGATGGGGCCAAATCCAGATAGGCTAAAGCCATAATATCTGAGAGAGGTACTTTATCTGAAAATGTCAATTGATCTAAGTTGTTTGACTGATCTTCACCGGAAGTTGCCTCAGTCAGCAATTTCCTCTTTTCATCTTTTTGCTTGGTAGCTGATGAAGCTGACCGCCTTGGAAAATCGTTTTGATCTTTACTAGCTGTTTCATGCTCCTCCACCATTACTTTCTTGTCATTTTTTTGCTTGGTATCTGAGGAAGATGATTTTCCAGATGGTTTCATTTGATCTTCAGCACTTGCCTTCTTTTTCTTTTCCGTTTTATGAGTGAAACGATCAATCACACTTGGCCATTCATCATTTTCATCCTTCCTAGATAACAAACCTCCAAGCAGAACTATTTGAAGAGGTAGACCATGACATCTTTGCAAGATCTTCTCCTTTAACTTTATATCTATCTGCTTTCCCTTTGCGATTTGTACCTTCTTTAAGAACAATGCCCAGCTTTCATCATTAGTTAGGGGGCGTAGCTCAAGAACTACCTTCTCTGGATTGATATGGTATGCTATATACACCTTCCGAGTAGTGATTATTACCCTGCTGCCATTTGATAAATATGGAAAGACACCATGAAGTCTCTCCCAAGCGTCTGTTGTAGGGACATCATCCAAAACTATCAAGTATCTCTTCCAGGTTAAGAAAAGGCGAAGCCTTTCTCTCAGCTGCTCAAGAGCCAAGCTCTCTTTCTGCTTGGCGTTTCTAAGCTGCCCCAATAAGTCAATCAATAGCAGTCTCTCGTTGAAATCATCCAATTTCCGGGGGACATTAACCCAAGCTCGACATTTGAAGTGCTGCTTACTTGCTACACTGTTATAAATCGTCCTGACAAGAGTTGTTTTTCCTGAACCTGCCCCTCCTAACACTGAAATTAGGAAATGCAACTTGTAGCTGATGAGTGTTAGTTCTGCTAATTCCCTTACTTTATCATCCAAGCCAACAATGCTCAACTCTTCGACCTTAACATCAGAAAGCCTATCGCAGTGCTCCGCACCCTTTTGAGCTGAAAATCTTCTTGCACATTTTTTGAGTCAGACAAGTTTCTCACAGGGATCATTCCTGAGATCAAAGAATTGGTATTCTGTGCCTTGTTAGCTTCATCTTCAGTTGGAGTCAAAATCACCCGGCTACCATTCAACGAATTTGGAAGAGAAAGTCTGAGCTTTTCCCAAATTTTACTTGTCCATATGTCACATAAAACCACAAGATACCTCTTTTGAGCCAAGAAATTGTGAAGCCTTTCTCGTAGTAACTCCACAGTCAGCTTTTCTTTCAAGTTGACACTCGTAACTTGCTCAAAAATGTTAGTTAGAATTTCTTTTTCGTCAAACTTCTGTGGAACATGAATCCAAGCACGACATTGAAAGTGCTGTTTAACATCTTTTGCATTGTAGATTGGCCATAACAAGTTGTTCCCGCCAGAGCCTATCGTACCCTCGATTGAAATGTGGAATAGCAAAATGTGCGGGTTGAGAATTGATTGTGTCAGCTTGTCTGTTGCTGCCTTCTCACTAGTAATACCATATTCCTCTTCCAAATAAGTAGAAGATTGAGGCCATCCATCTAATAATTGCCGCTTCATCTTTCTTAAGTTAGGCAAATGGTGTATCCCACCAATCCGTGAATTAATTTTTCTTGCAACATTGTCACTCTGAACAACAGTAATCACCCGGCTACCATTCAATGAGTATGGAAAGGCTGCTTTGATAGTGTCCCAAAACTCAGCTGTTCGGACACCATATAAGACTATCAAATACCTCTTCGAGACTAAGAAATCATGGAGGATCCGCAGCGGTGACTGAAGGGGCACCTCTTTGCAACCAGTAACCTTTTCTAGAATGGCTAGTAAGATATCTCTTTGTCCACGCTCTTCAGAAACATGAACCCAAGCACGACACTGGAAATGCCTTTTGATATGAT